AGCAAAATGTGTGCACAACTATGATGTTGAAAAAGTGAAAACGTTTAAGCATTCTTGCTTAACCCTATTCCCGCTGGGGGGGTAACTGAGTATGCAGTGTTGTGGAAAACTTCTTTCGGATTCATTTGAGACATATTAAACTTTTGAAAGATCTGTAAATCCTGAGTTTGAGCGCAAATTCGACGTTCAAAACTTCTACTTTGAGGGCGGATACTTTTTTTTAATTATTAAATAACCGTTTTTAAGTTATTTAGAAAAAAACACAGTGGGGGGAGTAGAACCCCCCCCCCCTCCCGGCCTGATAGGGTTAAAAACAAGATAAATAAAAAATGTATAATTTATAAATATCCATTAAACCTCTTCCATATTTTGTCCATTTATATGTTGTTTTCATGTTTTGGCAGGAATGTTACATTTTATATCATAATAAAACTTAAGTCTTCATAAAAGTTTTGAGAAGTATTCTCTCCTTATGAAATCCCTTTATATAAATCATAAATTTTAGATAAATCAGTAAACACATGATGAACAAATCATCAAACTAAAAATTAAATAAAAATAAAATAATTTCTATAGGTCTAGAATTCAATTATAATGACAATTATAAAATGGTTAATAGAATCGAGAGACAGGATTAGCTGCTAAACCAGTTCAAGTGTTGTTAATATGATATAATTAATGTCTTTGTTAAAGTTAATTCACTCAAGGGACAAATTGAAAATTATATAATTTTATGTTTCTTTTTACTAACTCAGTTACCATGTTTTAAATCATATTTTCGTTGCCTAACCCTCCTGTTTATATTTTCTGCTTGAGTTTATAGTATTTGCAGATGGGTTTATATCAACTAACACTCTCAATAGTCTTAACACAAAGTATAAACAAATCCTTCATACTCAATAATACATTGAAAGAAAATACTTTAAAGGAACTGAAGGGACTGTGCATGTCATTTCATTTAATCCTTCATTTCAAGAGTGGCAGGCCAAGTTCACAATAGCACCGTTTAAAGGGACTGTAAGCGGGATTTCAAATGAACTTCACGCACAGACACACTCCCCTGACCCTTTAGTAAAAGTAAATTCAACCGTTTGTTGCACCGGATATTCCTATTGAGTGTCTGCTTTATTTACCAAATGTCCGGGCGATACAGTACAAACTGGGATCGGAAAGGTTGACCCGGCTCGGAAATTTAAATGTACTATGGCTGCCCGAGCAGAGGACAATATCATGGATGTACAATTCGGTCTCTTTGTTTGATCAAGTATGAATTAAATATCTTTTTTATCTTAACTTTTTTTTTCATTTTTGGTTTAACATTTCTTGCTTTTAAGTTTTATACAGAGAATTTTCCAGAAATAACCAATTTTTGAGTGAGAATACGTTATCTTCCACATTTCCATATCTTTGCCATGGAAAATAACCAAATATCTGCAGCATTTAACCTTGATTAAACAAAGATTCAAAGATTAAATAATAAATATAGATCTATAAACATAGTTTCGTGAACAATCTCTTTAACACAAAGTATAAACAAATCACTCTTCCTCACACAATAGATATTATAAGAAAACACTTCAAACCTCCAATCCTTCCTTCTTTCATCTGAAACCCACTTGTCCCAAACTATCTCAGGAAAAGTTTTAAAACTTTCTTTTCAGGCAAAGTGATTTAGTTGGCCTAGTTTTTACAATTTAATTATTGTATGTTGATTCAAAACTACTTCTCTGACAAAAACTTGATAAAATTGTAAAATTAAAATACAATATAAAGATTTTAAACTTTCCTTTCCTCAAAGCGGCTCTAGGTGTTTACAAATACAATTGTCTTCAAAAATCAAATTCGTTTTTAAAGGGATTGTAAGCGTAATTTCAAGTGACTCTCCAGGGGGTACCCTTGAAGCCTTAATCTGATAAAAATGTGGAAGACTCAAATTGTGTTTATCTCTGATATTGCTCCATTAATTCTTAAAGCAAAACACTCTCTTTCGTAAAAAACCTCAAATGAAAATAAACAGTTTAAATACAAAGAAACATGGATATCTAATTTATATACTTGATCAGACAAAGTTTTCAAGGGTATTGTTGTAAATCGGACATTGTCATTCTTACTTGGCGGGTCACGCTTACAGTTCCTTAAGTTTATCCAGAAAATAACAAAATTCAAAAAAAAGAATATTTCCATAGTAAATTAGAAATTACAAACCAAATGTAATTACCGTAAATTGCAAAAAAAACTTGATTTTACAGCAACATAAAGAGAACCCCTTTTTTCTGTTCCAAGATGCTAAGACGAAGTACACATCCTAGTTTTTCTAGTTTAAAATTGATTATTTTGATTAGTGGGTTGATTGTTTATTTAAAATTGCATTGACATTCTCTTTAATTTGAAATAATGTAAACAAATGCAAGGCAATCAGTAAGTTTCTAAAAACTTGGAAAAGTTTTTCTAATCGCTAAACTTCTTAGTTGTTAAATTACCGGTAACCAAAAACATAATTTGTATAATTTACAGTGTCAAATATATAATTTGTATAATTTACAGTGTCAAATATATAATTTTTTTATAACTTTGTGTTTATATAGTTTTTTCTAGCTTTTGAAGTAATCAACTCAATGACAAAGGAACTGAGTTTTTGGCATAAACTCAAATTTTCTAATTTCTATATCTTTGCAACCCGATGGTGTAAACTTTCGATATTTCAGAATTAGATTATTTGATTTAATAGAATTCATGGTTTAAAATATCTGAGGTTAACGAGATTGGGCTCAGACTCAATTCCTTTTTTTTTCTTATTGATTTTTCGGAGCACAAGGATACAAAATATCGATTATTAAAACTTGGAATAACAAAATCGATAATACAAAACGTTGCAGCGCTCGGCCCGAACAATTTTTTGACCCTACCTAACCCAACACAATGTAAAATTCTGTAGTATTGAACATTTGTAGTATTCAACGTTTTGTAGTAGTCGACGTGTTGTAGTAGTCGACGTGTTGTAGTATTAAACGTTTTGTAGTATTTAAAGTTTTGTCGTAGTCAACGTTTTGTAGTATTAAACGTTTTGTATTAGTCGATGTTTTGTTGTTCGGTGTTTTAATAATTGACATTTTGTACCCACTCTGCTTTTTCTACCTTTCCCAAATTTTCCAGAAGTGGGGGAGGGGGGGGCGGGGTTACAAACCATCATAAGCCTCCTCCGTTGTGAAGATTTATTATGTTTAAGTGTGATATGTTTAATGGATCCCAAGTATTGTGTTTACAATATCAATAAAGGAAACATTATTCGTGTCTATACTATTAAACTTATATAAAGCATCTACATCATCTATCTTTTCAATGAAAATGATATAAACATAAGAAAAAGAAGAAAATATTTATATCTGAGGCAAATTTTAAAAAACATAATTTTTTAATTTTTAAAAACTTTTTTTATTAGTTGTCGAAAATATTTAAACAGTGCTTAGGTTTTTTTTAATAATTGATGTTCTTTAACATTAATAGTTTAAAAATTCACAAAAACATGTCATCTGGTTTAAAAACAAGATCAAGCGCAATTAAGCCTAGTTGAAAGTTCTCATTACTAGAGGAGCTAATTTCATTAACAAATATTGTGGTGTCCATTCATTTTAATAAAACTGCATGGTTCTTTAGTTATATATTTCAATTCCTGTTTAAATAATAAAATTAATCAAGTTGAAACGTTTAATATTTAATGAGATTACAATTATTTTACTTGTTTCATCCACAAACTTGTCTAATTTGTATAATTTTTTATGATTTCTACTCAGTAAGCTTTTTTTAATAAGTTTAAGGGTAATCGCATTGGAACACATCGGATTAAGTGATCCAATGCAAGGTTCATTTTAAAATTTGTTTAAAATGTACTCTACCTGGGAGGTATTATAAACCACATTGATGTTTTTTAAACATATGTGTTCTCTATTTTACCTAGATTTATAAACCATCTAAAGATATGTGGATTACAGCGAAATATATGATGGCAAAAATGACAGTTGTTTAAAACCTAGAGTGATAGTTGGGTTGGAAAGAGTACAATCATGTATTCATTAATCTTTTTTATAATTTACTAAATTACCAAAATCATCAACAGAAATTTTCTAATTAAATTTTGATTTAATATTAAAAATTATATAACATTTCTATGAAGGATTAATTTTGCTAAAACCTTTTAGAGATGGATTTTGTGGATTGAGATAAGGTCATTCATTGTACTTTTTATATTGAACAAATTCGGTTAATACAAAACAAAAAGTTATTATCAAGAGATTAAAATTAATAAATATTGTGTCATGGCTAAAAGAAAATCTTGAATTCAAACCTCAAATCTAAAAATAAAAAAAATTGTCAATAAAAAACAACATGATAAATTACAAATATCAAGATATCCCCGAAACGATCACACGCTTTATCAATATGAATTGAATATACAAACTATGTTAAGAATGTTATTTTATTTATGAAATATTTTCTTGTGTAAAACCATCATTCATGTTTTTTTCTTTGTCGAGCCTTAAATGACGAACGACCATGCTCACCATGTCTGGTTTTTATTCTAACTTTCATGTTTTATAAGCCAATGTACCCAGGTGTGTAGTGTAAATATTGATGGTTTCCAGATATAATGTACCCAGGTGTGTACTGTCAATGTTGATAGTTTCCAGATATAATGTACCCAGGTGTGTACTGTAATTATTAATAGTTTTCAGATATAATGTACCCAGGTGTGTACTGTAATTATTGATAGTTTACAGATATAATGTACCCAGGTGTACTGTAAATATTAATAGTTTCCAGATATAATGTACCCAGGTGTACTATAAATATTAATAGTTTGCAGATATAATGAACCCAGGTTGTACTCTAAATATTAATAGTTTCCAGATATAATGTACCAGGTGTACTATAAATATTAATAGTTTGCAGATATAATGAACCCAGGTGTACTGTAAATATTAATAGTTTCCAAATATAATGGACCCAGGTGTACTGTAAATATTAATAGTTTCCAGATATAATGTACCCAGGTGTTCTCTCATCTCACTACATCATCTTCTCAGCAATATTCTATTGGCAGTTCAGGTTAAGTTTTCAACAAAGAAAACAAATATTTAACTTCAAAATATTTTATAAACGCATAAAAATGGCTTTTTAAAGATACAGTAGTTGTACAAATAAATTACACCAGTAAAGTCAAGAAAAGTTATTTCAGGGGTGTACTCATTTTTTGTACTGCAGTGTACTGTCTCTGGGCGGTAATGTAAACACAAGACGGATGTTACAGCCTTGCATGGAATCCATTTTCACAAAAATAATCTATGAAATATTCTGGTCATAGGAAACTATTATGTGAATTTTCAAAATTATCAAAATTAAATGCGTTTAACCTCCTCGGATACTAAATGAACACTGATGCATCTATATTTGTTTACAAAGTCCGGCCGGAGAGAACTGGTTTCAATATGTACGCAGAGTATACGCGGGCGCAATTAACTTTCCTTCCATCAGTACCTTGAGTAAAGTGAGTTGTTTAATTCGCATAGGCACAATTTAAACCTTAGTCTGATATCATGTTTAGAATCTGTGAATCATAATATCATCACATGCATAAATAATCAAAATATATTTCTGAAGATAAGATATAAGTTTAACTTCTACAGTTTAAATGTTACTCCAGTGCATCAAACATGAAAATTAAAAAAGGTTCTCTACAAGATTATAATGGAAGGAAAGTTAATTGCAGTTGCGTATACTCTGCGTATATATATAATTCTCTGGGCGAAATTTGTAAACAAGAATAGATGCATCAGTGTTCGTTTAGTATCCGAGGAGGATAAAAACATTACATTTTGATAAATTTGATAATTCACATAATATATTCCAATGACCAGAATATTTAATTGATTTTTTATGTGAAAGATGGATCCCATGGCAGGCTTCCACATCCGCCTTGTGTTTACATTACCGCCAAGAGACAGTACACTGTACACTGCAGTACAAAAGATGCGTGCACCTCTAAAAAAACTTTCCTTGCATTATAACCTTGTCTATATTTAAGTTAATTAAACACACTCATTGAATACATTTATTTGCAGAGAAACCAGGAGTAAGCAGGGATTTCTAGAGTCAGACAAATTCATAGAAAAAGGAAAATTTGGTTCATTTTTATCATGTTTTATTTTTTTTTAATGCAGGATTACTCTTTTTTGTTGTCTATTCAATAATGTAAATTGCCAGGGTGTTAGTTTAATTGTTAATTATATTGTTAATTATATTGTCTAATGTATTATTGTCCTGTTGTTATGGTATTAGTTCAATTGTTAATTATATTGTTTTAATTATATTGTCTAATGTATTATTGTCCTGTTGTTATGGTATTACGTCAATTGTTAGTTATATTGTCTAATGTATTATTGTCCTGTTGTTATGTTATTAGTTCAATTGTTAATTATATTGTCTAATGTAATATTGTCATGTTGTTATGTTATTAGTTCAATTGTTAATTATATTGTCTAATGTATTATTGTCATGTTGTTATGGTATTAGTTCAATTGTCTAATGTTTTATTGTCCAGCTTTTATTGTACATAGTTCAATTGTTAATTATATTTTGAAAAGTGTCAATTGTCAACTAGTCAGTGTCTCTTGAACAATAGTGAAAAAACGTTTAATGTTTTGTGAACTTCCAAAAAATCTAAGAAGTTTTGAAAAATTTAAAATTGGGTTTTCTAAACATTATTTTCTGTTCACAAAAAAAGTAGGATATTAAACAATACAAATGGAGAAACCCGAAGCAATACCCATCATTATGTGTACTGTGTTTTATGAGACAGAAATTAAAGAAGCTCTGAAAATAATGGAATTTTATTTTTATTTGACACAAACGAGTCTTTTTTAGATATAGAATAATTTCAAGAGCTTCCAAATTCTGTGATTAACTATTTAAATATTAAAACATATGTTCAAATATACTTTATACACAGTTTCTGATGTAAACGCCAAATTTTTCCTTTTAGTTAAAAATGTAAAAAAATAGATTGTACCATTAAGTAGTTGTCATGACCAGAAATTAAAAAACTAATGCCAACAAAATTGGGGGGGTGATAGCATTATGATAATTCAATTGAATTCTTGTTATAAACCTTCACAAATAAAAATAAAATGCCCTTAGAAAATTGGCCTATGTGAAGATGCATTTTACAGTCATACCGTTACTATAACCAAGCAATTCTAAAGTTTGTTGGTGGGGGGGATAGACATTACCGTCACCATTATGACTAAAAGACCCCCCCCCCTCCTCTGTTTTTAGTATAAAAGGAAAATTGTACCAGGCAGTGGCATTCAAAAACATTTTCCTATCCTCTATCGATTTTCGAAATCCAGTCTTCCAGTTCAGTTTTAACTAGGAAATCATGCAATTCAAAACTTTAAATTTAGATAAATTTTACCAAGGTTGTAATGCAAGGAAAGTTATTTCAGAGGTGCAAGCATCTTTCCTTGCATTATAACCTTGAATTTTACTAGCTTTATAGGGACTGTAAGTGTTTTTTTTTTCATGTTACCCTCTATGCAAAGATGGCAAGGCCCTAATAACAACGTTGCCCGTGAAACCTGTATCTGATCAAAATGTAGAAGTTGTTGTTTGTCTCTAAGTTTAAAAGTGTTTAATTCTGGTTATTTCCGCAAATTTCCCTGCAGAAGAAATACAAAGGTCTCCATAATTGAAAATAATGATATTATTTTTTAAACTATAATCATTGCAAGCTATTTCTACTTGACCAGACAATTAAATATTTGAATGGCCCCGTTGCAAATCGTTGCATTGTCATTGTTGTGTGGATGGGGACTCGAATTTACGCACAGTCCCTTTTTTAAAAAATAATTTTCTTTTTTCTTTCTTTTTTGAAATATTTTCCTGCATTTACTGTTTTCCAATATAAGATGGAAATTGAATTCTAAAATTTAAATTTAAAACATATTTTGAAGAAATAGATGATTCAGTTAATATTCTTTCCAGGTTTTTAAAGAATTATGGATTGAATTGAACCCCCATCTAAAGAGAAGAATGCAGGCCCAATTCTTTAAGCTTTCATCTGAGTTAAAATTCAGGAGATATCCTTGGTTTTCTACTTTATACTTTTCTACTTAACTTCATAAAACCATGCAATAGAAAAGACAAATATTGAAAATTTTAGATTGCAATATATTGGAAAAAACAAATTAAGATATCTTTCTCAAGGTTTATTATATATCAGTGGAAAAGGCACTGTGCATAGAACTCTTTATTTGAGATAAAAGGTGGGATGGGGGGGGGGGGGTTGTAGACTAGAACGACAGCTTTTTTTGAAAATGTTTTTATTTAAACTTAAAATTTTGATTTTATTTCGATATGGTGTACTGGCCAAGATGAAAGAGAGAGTTAAGACAAATTTTAAGATATTAGTTTAACATCGTGAAAGTTTGCTTTTATAAGGGCACAAGGGATTTCAGATTTTCAAAAAAAATGTGCAGTATATTAAAAGTTAAGAGGTTGAGATTGAAAATAGAAGATTATATATTTTATTTAACATTACTGTTGCTCCTTTGTGACCTCGTGACTCCTATAGTTTGGATTTTAAAGCCAATGACGAGAAAGCAAATTAACTTGGTTATGGAGTAAAAAATTCATAACATTTCTTGTTCTTGTTAAAAAGCTTTTAGTCATGAGATTTAGTTTATTTTGACGTAGCTCTTTTTGGTAAAATTTCAGCACAATACACCTTTATTAACCTTTTTATTTAATGAAGAATGATTATGTTTGACCCCTGTGCTATGAATAAAAGTGAAACTAAACAATAGAAATTTCTCTAACAAAAGTCTTTTATTTAGTTAAAAAGTAACATCAGGACCTTCTCCCTGAGTTTTTATATAATCATATTCAAATTAATATGAAACTTTATGCTTGGCATGAAAAAGAAAACATATATCACTAGGATTTAATGGTGGATTAATGGTGGATTAATGGTGGATTAATGGTGGATTTCCAATAATTTTTATCGAAATAATTTTGTTGACACTTTTGTTTATTCTGATCATAACTTTTTCTTTCACATAATTGTTTGGTCTGGTCGGTTCAGCCGTTTTAATGTTTATTGGATAAAAACAAGCATGCCAACGGACAAACATTGTCTATATAAATTTGCTGCATTTCTTTCTATAAACTCTGCATTTATTTATTTGTTTCTCCAAGCTATAACATTAAACCTTTATAACGCTGGTTGAATAACTGAAAAGATATATAAGAGTGGGGCAGGGTACAGATTAATCATGGCCTGTTGGCAAATAAATGACTTCTCCTCTTCAGAATAAGTTTTCTTTACATTTCATTTAGATTTTCCAACCTTAATCCTGTTCATTCAGCTTCAAATCAAAAGGTTACGTTGTTTTTTTTTTCCAAAATTTATAAATTCTTGCTTGTAAAAGGCTCCTGAAGGTCTGTAAATATTAAAATATAAAAACAGAAAATTTAAAAATATTTTAACCAATGTTTACTAGTGAAGTTGTCCAACATAAGATTGTAAATGAATATATGAAAATACTAAAATAAAATAAAATATAAAAAAAGATATCTGAACCAATGTTTAATAGTAAAGTTGTCCATCTAAGATTGTAAATAGATATATGAAAATACTAAAATAAAATAAAATAACAAAAAGATATTTGAACCAATGTCTGATGATACAGTAGTACATGTGTACAACATCAGATTGTCAATGAATATACAAAAATAATCAAATAATAAAAAAAAAATAATTTGAAAATTACTTGAACCAATGTTTGATGGTCTAGTTGTCCAGCATGAGATAGTTGTAAGGGAAGGAGAGGATACAAGAATACCTTGTGAAATACAACCAGGATCTCAGGATAGGGTAAATACTTTCAAATACAATTTTATAATATTTTTGCCTTTTTTAATGTAACCACAGTGGATATCAAAATCGGGATTATGAATATCCAACAACATAATCCTGCAAAAAAACGGTTTAGTCGTTTTGTCGTTTATTGGATACAAACGGTTTAGTCGTTTTGTCGTTTATTGACACAAACATTACAATTACCAACGTCTAAGCTTAAGATATAGCTTCTAGATACGAGGATCTATTTTTTAGTAAAAAATGTCTCCTTTTTCTGTTAGAATCTTAGACGAAAAAAAATTGTTCAAACCAAAAAAAATGAAACGAATTAAGCAATGAAAGGACATTTAAAGTATTTAACCAAACTTTTTGTTTGTAAAGAATTTGATAATTTCTAAACGAGAAAAAAAGATGTATCTAGTTTTATTTTTAACATGAAACGTAATACTTAATTTTTCATTTTTGATCTATTCTATAAAGTTAAATAATTAACTGATTCATGGAATTGTGTCATTATTTGCATAATGCTCTGATTTCTAATCCCTCTATCTTCGCAACCCATTAAAATAGATATTTCAAACCATGAACTAAGATTTAAATTCTAATTTTTAGTTTCTAATAGCTATGCTTGCATTATTCAGAAATAAAATAGTTAAAAAATGGAAAACAAAAAGAATTATTGTTTCTGATTTATTATGATTGGATACATTTGCTTATCCAGACATTTTTTTCCAGTATTTTGTTGTTTTTCCTCTGCACAATTCTCAATCATGAATTCAAATGATTGAACATCTTTTGCATTAAAATAAATTGGTTCATTTCCTCTCGTTTGATTTGAACATCATGATTTCTATTTCTTTATAACAAAATAAATGATAAATTGGTTTATTGTATTTTTTGCAAATTCATTATTTTTATAAGAATACAAGTATTATAATGCATGAAAATTCAAAACATTTATTTAATCTTTAAACTCCTTGTTCTTCTAGAAATAAGAAATATAAAGTTACTAAATTCGCTACTTACTATATTTGTAAGTACTGTATCTTTGCAACCTGATAGTGTTAACTTTCCTATTGCAGACTCACAAAATTTGGTCTAACAAAATCCATACTTTGAAATATCAAAGATCCAACTTATTTTTTTGACAATGGAATGGGGGGAGGGGTTTAAATTGGCAAAAATTCAGAATTTATATCTTTTACAGGATTTTAATGATATATCTGACCGGCCTACTCTAATTATTTGGTACAAAAAAGACCAGCATCTTCCAATATACAGGTACAAAATATTTCGTAGAAAATAAATAAATGTCGTCTTTCTTATAGAAATGGAAATGCGAGAAGCAATAAACGAAAATTTGCAAAATTTAATAATTAATATTTCTTAACGTGAAGATATACTCATTGTTCAAACCTAATAGCTATTAAATTATTGTTGAAATTTTGTAGTAATATTATTATTGTTTTGTTTTTTCTAAGCAATTAAACAAATACAATGAAAAAAAACACATTGTTTGGTCTTTCTTCCTTATATATCTGTATGTACTGCATGATTGGTTACTTGGCCATTGGTTTTATTTTGCCTTAATGATACCAATCATTCATTTCTTTAGTCTGGATCTTAGAAGATATTCACAGGACTACAGAGGGGCACCATGGAGAAATAACGATACCACAGGTAAAGACAAACATCATAGTGAAAATATCAATCTGTGGTTCTTCATTCTTTTCTTTATAGTTTAAACCTAAGTTTTTTTTAAAACGTAGCTTATATGTAGGTCGCATATTTGTAAATTTCGAGTACATAGCTTAAAATTTCATATTTTTTTTTATTTCTTCAATGATTCTAAAGATTTCGAAATATAAATAATAATATAAAATAAATCTTTATATAGTTTTCAAAAATAGTTGTTGAGAAAATGTTATAATTAAGTTGCAATTGAAGAAAAATGTAAAAAAAGTGATATTTCATCTGAATAAACTATGTGAATAAAGTTTGTTGTGCATTAGATAAACCCTGGGTCCTAGATTACATGTAGACGCAACTTTAATTCCATTTCATATGTAAATGGACGGCCTAATATAGAGATGGGCTTTATATTTTTCATACTGTTTCTTAGAATAAGGATTTTTACCATCTGTAACGTACATATAGGTTGTAAGTGATGGTTGATAATAAACCTTTTTAAGGCTGGGGGTCTGCATTTATGTAAACCGGGCTCTTGGTCGCTTCGCGCCCATCTTCTATTTCAACTGTGAACATTTTCTCTTTGTATTAATTTAAAACAAAAACAAGCAAAAATTTCGCGTATTTTATGAAAAGAGGTTTTGTAAGGTCCCACACAAAATGTTGGCCCGCTCGGTTCAGCCGTTTTGACGTTTATTGGATACAAACGGACAAACACTTATACAGACAAGTAGAGGATATATGTTAATTATAAAAAATGTGTTTTTGACAAATGTGACATATGTTTTAGATTCACTTTTTAATGTATACCCAACTGTAATTCCATTTCATATGTAAATAGACCTAATCTAGAGCTGGGCATGTTCTATGTTTTTTTGGTTTTATGAGGGCCATCAACTTACCATCTGTAACATATAGATCGTTAATTATGGGTGATGCTACCCTGTAAATGCTGGGGGCCTAAATATATTTATATAGATGTTAATAATAAAACATTTCTTTCTGACAAACGTTACAATGTGTTTTATTTTCAATTTTCAAATGTCTTTTTTGAAATGTTAACTATAGATCTGTAACTTGAATAAGAAAATAAGAATGGGCTATTTTTAAAATCATTCGCAAAAAAATCCTTTAAATTACAATTTGAATAAGTCAAGAAATTTCAAGTGGCCNTCGGGATTAACACGAAATTCCGTTTATAATCTAAAAAAAGATTGCTCCCTGTTCTATTAACAATGCCTATCTCTAGTCCGGACCTAAGGAAATGCATGAACTGAATTTATTTCCTCGTAAAGAAGAATGTGTACAAGGGAAAAGTAGAAAGGAAGATAAACTCTGGGCTAGGCCAACACATGAAGGTTCAATTTAATAAAAACAATATTTGCAATCATTCTAAGTATCTCCAAATGAAATACAATATGGGCTTAATTTCTTTATACCTGGTTACCAACAAAGAAAGATTTCTCATGGCTCTAAATGTGCTTCAATTTCATATTTTCATGCCCCCGTCCCTAAATGTGGTTTCAACCCCGATCCCATTTGGGATCAGCAATGGAATTATATGGACCCCTGCGCTAGATGCATTAGGTTTCTTAAATTTTAATTAAAGCAGGGGTATTCATTTCAACAATTATACAGACCCCCCAGCCTTTATATGGTTAAAGCATAAGATACAGAAATGACAAAAGAGTGGTCAGCGGTAACAATAAAATGGTCTCCAAAAACAATATATTTATTGTTCAGGCTTAAAAGCAGCCGGGAAAATAAAGAAGGGTAAAAAAGTTTAAAGTAAATGTGTTGTAAAGAGGAAGCTAATAGTGTGGTCACCAGGCTGGATATTAAACCTAAGGAAAATGCATTAAAGAATATTCTATTTCTAGAGCGTGGGGAAATCCATTACGAAGAGAATGGTAAAGTGAGAAGGTCCCATCTTTTCCTACCAACAGTTACCAGGGAGGACGGGGGTAAATACAGGTAGGGTAACTATAGTCCTATATTTTCCTACCAACAGTTACCAGAGAGGACGGGGGTAAATACAGGTAGGGTAACTATAGTCCTGTATTTTCCTACCAACAGTTACTAGAGAGGACGGGGGTAAATACAGGTAGGGTAACTATAGTCCTATATTTAGAGAGGACGGGGGTAAATACAGGTAGGGTAACTATAGTCCTATATTTTCCTACCAACTGCAGTTACCAGGGAGGACGGGGGTAAATACAGGTAGGGTAACTATTGTCCTATATTTTCCTACCAACAGTTACCAGAGAGGACGGGGGTAAATACAGGTAGGGTAACGATAGTCCTATATTGTCCTACCAACAGTTACCAGGGAGGACTAGGGATATACAGGTAGGGTAACTATAGTCCTATATTTTCCTACCAACAGTTACCAGAGAGGACGAGGGTAAAAACAGGTAGGGTAACTATAGTCCTATATTTTCCTACCAACTGCAGTTACCAGGGAGGACGGGGGTAAATACAGGTAGGGTAACTATTGTCCTATATTTTCCTACCAACAGTTACCAGAGAGGACGGGGGTAAATACAGGTAGGGTAACTATAGTCCTATATTTTCCTACCAACAGTTACCAGAGAGGACGAGGGTAAAAACAGGTAGGGTAACTATAGTCCTATATTTTCCTACCAACAGTCACCAGGGAGTACGGGTGTAAATACAGGTAGGGTAACTATAGGCCTATATTTTCCTGCCAACATACAGAAAGAAAAAAATAGAGGGATCTTGGCTTCAAATACAAGTCCTTAGCAACATTTCAAAATTAAAAAAAGGAAAGTGGTGGTATATAAGATATATATTGTATAGGTGCAGACTGGTATATAAGATATATATTGTTAAGGTGCGGAGTGGTATATAAGATATATATTGTTTAGGTGCAGAGTGGTATATAAGATATATATTGTTTAGGTGCAGAGTGGACTATGTTCAATATCCAACAAGGAACAGTTGGGTAAAGCTAAAAGTTATAGGTAAACTATATTTTCCATTGTTGTCAAAGTAAGATATTAATCAAGGAGGTGTCGCGTCAACACTCAACTGCAAAGGAAATGATTACTAACCTCGAACTCTAATTTCTAATTCCTTAACTTTGTATCTTTGAAACCTTATGTTTTACATTTAAACTTACTAGATTAGAATGTCAACGTTTTAAATATCAACGTCCACACCACCAAGTAGCATAAATATAGCATTTCAGGCAATTAGTCAGTTCTATATCAACATATAATATAGTTTTCAACCTAGAATACATTTTTTAATCTTAAATATAGTTATTAATCTGGAATATAGTTTTAACCTAGAATAAAGTTTTCAAACTAGAATATAGTTTTTATCCTAGAATAAAGTTTTTCTTAGAATATAGTTTTCAAACAAGAATATAGTTTTTATCCTAGAATATAGTTTTTATCTTAGAAAATAGTTTTATCCTAGAATATTGTTTTAACCTAGAAAACAGTTTTCAAACTTATCTTAGAATATTGTTTTCAACCTAGAATATAGTTTTTATCCTATAGAATATAGTTTTCAACCTAGAATATAGTTTTTATCCTAGAATATAGTTTTATCTTAGAATATTGTTTTCAACCTAGAATATAGTTTTTATTCTAGAATATAGTTTTTATCTTAGAATATTGTTTTCAACCTAGAATATAGTTTTTATCCTAGAATATAGTTTTCAACCTAGAATATAGTTTTTATCCTAGAATATAGTTTTCCACCTGGAATATAGTTTTTATCCTAGAATATAGTTTTCAACCTAGAATATTGTTTTCAACCTAGTATATAGTTTTCCTACCTAGAATGATGTTTGATTTTTTCTGCTGTGTCAGCTGTTACATGGTTATAAATCAAAAACATCCTTCTGAAACCGAAGTAAACTATCGGAAACTGGTTTTGAAAATTGTGTTTAAAGAATCTTGAATAATTTTTAGTAAGAGATATTGTTTCATAAAGTAAGATTATGTTCGTTTTTTTTACAAAAATAAATCAAACAACCATTTCATATCAGCTTTTATATACTTAATAATAATTAGATTGTTGGAGATTATAAGTCATACTGTAACAATGGGTGATTTTGTTGATCTTTTACGATCAGCGATTCAAGGATCGTTTTAGATCGCTGAGATCATAGCTGGCTAGAGGCATAACCCCCCCCCCTTTATACCCTTCGGTTGGACTTTTGAATCCTATTTTGAATCCTAACGGATTTATTTGAGTTTGCATGTGAATTCTATAAATAACCCAAGCCAAGCTGAAAGTTCCGTTATTCCAGAAGCACGGGGGCTGGGGGGCTAGCCGGCCAGCTCTTGGGGAACTAGGGTTAAAGCGAAAGGGAGGGAGAGGAGTTAGTTGATCATCAGCTCCCTTAAACAGAGGTTCCCTTGAAGATTCCCACCACTCTGAAACTAATTCATAATATTTGATTCGTATAGTATCATCTTTTTAGTTTTTGTATCTTTGTAAATAATAAACTGTAAGTTAAACCGACTCGTCGAATATTTAATAATACGAGTAGTTGCCTTGATTCATTTTTCTTTCATATGCAATAATTCTAAATCAATCCAAACTTTGAAGAAAAGATAAAATTTTCTTAAAGAATAGTAAAATAACATTTTTCATTTTTCAAGTTTTTTATTATAAAATTGCAAAAGAAACATTTTTTCTTTCAGATGGAAAGACATATTTCTTTGTTATTCTACATATTCTATTCTGTAAAATTTAATACTCTGGTTCTAGACAATCTACTTAGGAATGTAAATCTCTGGGAAATTTGTCAGTTAATCCCTTTAAACAGATTACAAGAAAACAAGGAGTAGGGAATACGTTCAACCTAGAGGGGTAGAAAAGACACTGGATTACAGGGTTACCCACAAAGTATGAGACTGTAAAGACGACTTAAAACTCTTTAAACATCTTATGTTATTATTTTACAAAGATAGAATGAAGTTTATAAGTACAGAGAATCATGAATTTAAGGAAACGTACAATCTCTTCATCCTTTGTGAATAACCCTGTAGATAGAAAATTGAAAGTTTTCATTGAAGAAGATTTAGAAAGATTATAGGGAACCGGCGATAACCAAACACTGGAGGGTCATGTAACTTGTAAGACCAAACGACAAAATTTGCCCGATCGGTTCGACCGTTCTGATATGTATTGGATCCATAGAAACCATACAAGAAAAATATATTCATAGCAAAATAAAAAATTGCTGAATTCAGGCTGACATATGGTTTACCAAAAATAGTCTGTGGGGGGGGGGGGGTTTACCCAAAATAGTCTGTGGGGAGGGGGTCCTTATTGTGACACAAATCTATAACTTTTGATTTGGAAAGCTCTTGGGTTATAATTTAATAATCTGCAGAAAAAATTTGCACATTTGCTAAATTTCAAATTTGGTTATTGCAATTTCAATTTATTAGGCAAAAATGTGCAATAACAAAAAGTTATAAAAGTTTTATATTTTGAAAAGCCCTTACCACGGCGAATTCAAATATGCAAAAATATTTTTAAAGTTTTCTAAAACTAAATTTTCATTCAAGGAAAACTGAAAATGTGCAAATTCTGTTTAAATGCATCTGTGCAATAAAAACTAGGTAAAATTTCTTCGCAAAAATTGTGCAATCTGCTTCTTTTTGTTTGAAGCTTTCCGAAGAGCTATAAAAAGTCAAAATTCAATGACCAGAAGAAGGTCTAAATATAGATTTAGTTGGAAAAAACTGTAAGATAAGGCATTCAGGCAGTATATGCCTGAGGACTCTGGCAGTAGGTATAAAAGCCCCACTTTGAGCTAAAGTGTTAGTTAGAGAATTCAAAAAGCTTGAACACCCTGTTGAGACTAATACTTTTCGAGTTATCTCCAAAAAACGTCATGGGGGTCCCAGAGGGACCCCCCCCCCCCAGCTAGAATAGGGTTAAGTATGTTTTTTTGTAAAAACCTCATAAATAAAATTTCAGATTGGATAAAGCTTTAGACTGTTGCTTTATTTAGTTTAATGTCAATAACCATGATTAAATGTATTCAAATGCATTCTGCAAAAGATTTATTTCGTATTAAAAAGTGCAATACATTTTCAACATCAGGAATAGAAGAATAATAAAAACTTTTGATATTAAAACTTTTATTTAATATTAAAAAATGTTCTCACTTTTTTGACTTAACAAATTATTAGTCAATTAAATTATGTTGCAATAAAAAATATAAAAATCTTATAAAAATAGGAACTTAATGCAACTGTAATTTTTACTAATCTAATCTTTAGAGGTAATTGCTTTGTTCACAACGGGACAATTTAAATCTTGACCGTACAGACAAGGAAGGAACTAGACAGAATTAGTCTATTTGTCCAAGATAAACAAACGATGAAGACTACTTTTTACTAAATTGTGCCGTTGATATTTGAATATTATTTGAAATGATGGGTCACGTGAATCTTGTTTACAGCCCCTTAACTTAAAACATCCCCTTGACAACTTTTTCCTTTAGTGCAAGGGTTCAAATTTAAAGAAATTATTTTCATTCTTCTCTAAAGAGTTCTTCACCGTAGAAATTTACCGCAGTATATTTGCAGTTGCATCCAGTGCAAACTTTTATCTACGAAGATTGTCAGTTCTCAGTGTTTTTGCATTTTTAAACATAGAAAACTTTTTAATGCATTTCTTGACATACTTCAACTTGTTATCTTCATGAATGGCTTTGTATGACTTAGAAAAGTAAAGTTGGCTTTCTTTTAGATTAAAAGTAATTGTTTAGATATTTGAGTAAAATACCAGGTTTAAAGGAATTGTTAAGATATTTGAGTAAAATGCCAGGTTTAAAGGAATTGTTTAAATTTTTGAGTAAAATACCAAACTTAAGGGAATTGTTTAGATATTTGAGTAAAATACCAGATTTAAAGGAATTGTTTAGATATTTGAGTAAAATACCAAGTTTAAAGGAATTGTTTAGATATTTGAGTAAAATACCAGGTTTAAAGGAATTGTTTTATAGATATTTGGGTAAAATACCAGGTTTAAAGGAATTGTTTAGATATTTGAGTAAAATACCAGGTTTAAAGGAATTGTTTAGATATTTGAGTAGAATGCCAGGTTTAAAGAAATTTTTTAGATTTGAGTAAAATACCAGGTTTATTAAAGGAATTCTTTAGATATTTGAGTAAAATACCAGGTTTAAAGGAATTGTTAAGATATTTGAGTAAAATGGCCGGTTTATTATAGGAATTGTTTAGATATTTGAGTAAAATACATGTTTAAAGAAGTTGTTTAAATATATGAGTAAAATGGCCGGTTTATTATAGGAATTGTTTAGATATTTGAGTAAAATACCAGGTCTAAAGGAATTGTTTGGATATATGAGTAAAATGGCCGGTTTATTATAGGAATTGTTTAGATATTTGAGTAAAATACCAGGTCTAAAGGAATTGTTTGGATATATGAGTAAAATGGCCGGTTTATTATAGGAATTTTTTAGATATTTGAGTAAAATGCTAGGTTTAAAGGAATTGTTTAGATATTTGAGTAAAATGGCCTGTTTATTAAAGGAATTCTTTAGATATTTGAGTAAAATGCTAGGTTTAAAGGAATTGTTTAGATATTTGAGTAAAATACCAGATTTAAAGGAATTGTTTAGATATTTGAGTAAAATACCAAGTTTAAAGGAATTGTTTAGATATTTGAGTAAAATACCAGGTTTAAAGGAATTGTTTTATAGATATTTGGGTAAAATACCAGGTTTAAAGGAATTGTTTAGATATTTGAGTAAAATACCAGGTTTAAAGGAATTGTTTAGATATTTGAGTAGAATGCCAGGTTTAAAGAAATTTTTTAGATATATGAGTAAAATGGCCGGTTTATTATAGGAATTGTTTAGATGTTTGGGTAAAATACCAGATTTAAAGCAATTGTTTAAATATTTGAGTAAAATTCCAGGTTTAAAGGAATTGTTTAAATTTTTGAGTAAAATACCAAACTTAAGGGAATTGTTTAGATATTTGAGTAAAATACCAGATTTAAAGGAATTGTTTAGATATTTGAGTAAAATTCCAGGTTTAAAGGAATGGTTTAGATATTTGAGTAAAATTCCAGGTTTAAAGGAATTGTTTAGATATTTGAGTAAAATGGCCGGTTTAAAGGAATGGTTTAGATATTTGAGTAAAATTTCAGGTTTATTTAAGGAATTGTTTAAATATTTGAGTAAAATGCCAGTTTAAAGGAATTAAAATAATCTTAAAGAGACTGTTAAGGAAAAATGAAAGGGGGTATAGGTTGAAAGCTAATCACTTTAGCTCTTAATCGCGACCCATGAAATTTTTATCTGATGTTCCTGTCTCCTGAAATTGATATAAAACTGTTTCAAATTTATACGAAGATTCATAAATATACAATTTTGTATAGAAATAGGTTTAAACAGATCATTTTCAGCAAATATGCAACGAATCTGATAACGAAGATATCCCAGAGAAACCTAATTGTACTTAGATTTTCTCCAATTTTTATTTTATAATTTTTATTATAATAGATAAAATTGATAATATTATTGATTAAGTCTGTATTACATCATTAGAACTTCCACCAATGGTAGTGCAGTAAAGTGGTCACATATGTCTCTGTCTGTATCACGTGACTAGTATACTGCTCTCTCATTGGTGAAAGCTCTTGTGACGTAATTCTGACTTATGCATAATATTATTTATTATAATATTTATTTGACACAGTTTTATATTAATTCCTTGAGACAGGAACATCAGATAACTTTTATGGGTTGTGATCAAGAGCTAAAGTGATTTAGCTTTCAGCCTATACCCCCATTTCATTTTTCCTTTAAAGTCCCTTTAAGGAAAAATATAATATACTAGCTGAAGTGCCCACCTGTGAAATGTTAGAAACACTTAAAATTTAAAGTTTTAAAAAATGTCAGCCAATTTGGTTCAACCGTTTGGACAGCGTTAGCTAGCATATATATGTATGCGCGAAGAGCTTCATTTTAAAGATTTTTTTTGCAATCTCTCTCTTTTTGATAAGTCTTTTTATATAATATATGCATTGTTTTTATGTTCCGAAAATGCCCTATCTTTCATTTTTATCCTATTTAAAATTATAATTTTCTGCTGTTTTTCGTTTAGATTTATTACTGGTGTAAAACACGTTCTGAATTCAGTCCAACATTCCAGAATTTTCCTTCAGCAACTTTCTTTTCTTATATTTTCAAATATCATCTAATTTGTATGCATTTAATGGGCTCACTGCTTTAGCAGTAGGGTCAAAAGCATCATATATATCTATGTCGAAGATAAAGAGCACATTTTAACAATTTTTAGAGGGCCGCCCCCCCCCCTCCAATCGTGATAGGGTTAAGTCAAAATTATCATTTTAATTATCATTATAATCAATTTTCAACCAATCTAAAATGTCAAATTACATTTACATGTAAGTAATATATAGTAAAAATTTTACACAGGGATATAATATTTACACAGAGGATTTACAATTTACATTTATATTTACATGTAAGTAATATAAAGTAAATATTTTACACAGGGACATATCCTTTACACAAAGGATTTACAATTTACATTTACATTTACAAATTGCAAATATAAAGTAAATATTTTTCACAGGAATATAAACTTTACACAAAGGATTTACAATTTACGATTTACATTTACATTTACATACTGGTAATATAAAGTAAACATTATACACAGGGATAATTCCTTTACAAAAAAGATTTACAATTTACAATTTACATTTACATGATAAATATTTTACACAGGTATATATCCTTTACACAGAGGATTTACAATTTACATTTATATTTACATGTAAGTAATATAATGTAAATATTTTACACAGGGATGTATTCTTTACACAGAGATTTACAATTTACATTTATATTTACATGTAAGTAATGTAAAGTAAATATTATAGGTGCAAGGATTTAATTTTTACACAGAAGATTTAAAATTAACATGTAAATATTATAAAGTAAATATAATACACAAGTATATATTTGAACATATAAAAATATACATATGAGAATTGCAGATAGATCAAGATAGTCCGTTTTAGCCCAGCTTTTTATGTTGCTTTTAAAATGTGGAAAAAATACTTTATTTTACAAACAAATAGATTGAATTTCTCCTGCATTTCTTCTCTAAACCAATTAGAGACATGTTTCAAGTTTCCCACACCTCTTTACATACTTCTTTTAAGAAACTAAACCTTAAGTTTAATTTGTGTGTATTTTCTGCAGACTAAGCTGGTTCAGTTTTTGTAGATAAACTGTGCACTTTGTACCTTATAAACCGTAGACTATTTGCTGGTTCAGTTTTTGAACAAAACTTGTTTCTTTGTGCAAAACTGTGTACTTTGTACTTTGTGAACTTTACTCAAAACTGGTTTAATTTTTGTACAAAACTATGCACTTTTTACTTGGTGAACTATAGAATAAACTGGTTCAATTTTTGTACTTTGTACTATGTGAACTTCAGACTGGTTTAGTTTTGGACAAAACTGTGTACTTTGTACTATGCGAAGTGCAGAATATACTGTTGTAGTTTTAGCACAAAATTGTGTACTTTGTAAAAATAATTCTTTCTTGTAGAGTGGCCTACTGCAAGGATATCCAAAAAAAAAATCTTTTAATTTTTTGTTCAAAATTAGCCAAAATATGATTGAAAGATGTACAAACAAGAAGAAAATGAAGAACAAGAAACATAGAAATGTCATAATATTTTTATCTGATATCATATAGATATTTAAAGAATATTGTAAAACTTAATGACAGTAAATTATTAAAGTTAAAAAGATTAAACTTTGTAAATTGCTGAAATAAACTTTTACAGTCTATTAAACTTTTACAGTCTATTAAACTTTTACAGTCTATTAAACTTTTACAGTCTATTAAACTTTTACAGTCTATTAAAAGTGCGTTTAATTTCAAACCTTATTCAGGAAACTAGCATTACCTTAATGTGAACCCTTTGTAAATGAAACTAAATCTATCTTATTTTTAACCCTTTTTTAACCATAACTTTAAATATCTTTAATTAAACTGCATAGTACACAATATACATATCTTGTCTCTATTATTGTAGCTGGGCCTAGTAAACCCCAACTATCTCTAATATTGTAGTGGGATCTAGTAAACCCCAACTATCTCTAATATTGTAGTTGGACCTTGTAAACCCCAAATATCTCTTATAATGTAGTTGGACCTAGTAAACCCAAACTATTTCTAATATTGTAGTTGAACCTAGTAAACCTAAAACTATTTATAATATTGTAGTTGAACCTAGTAAACCCCAACTATTTCTAATATTGTAGTTGAACCTAGTAAAATTAAAACTATTTCTAATATTGTAGTTGAACCTAGTAAACCTAAAACTATTTCTAATATTGTAGTTGAACCTAGTAAACCTAAAACTATTTCTAATACTGTAGTTGAACCTAGTAAACCTAAAACTATTTCTAATATTGTAGTTGAACCAAGTAAACCTCAACTATTTCTAATATTGTAGTTGAACCTAGTAAACCTAAAACTTTTTTTAATATTGTGGTTGAACCTAGTAAACCCCAAATATCTCTAATATTGTGGTTGACCCTAGTAAACCCCAAATATCTCTACTAATGTAGTTGGACCTAGCAAACCCCAAATATATCTAATATTGTGGTTCGACCTAGTAAACCCCAAATATCTCTAATATTGTGGTTGGACCTAGTAAACCCCAAATATCTCTAATATTGTGGTTGGACCTAGTAAACCCCAAACATCTCTAATATTATGGTTGGACCTAGTAAACCCCAACTATCTCTAATATTTTAGTTGAACCTAGTAAACCTGAACTATCTCTAATACTTTAGTAGGACCTATTAAGCCCCAATGCTCTCTAATATTGTAGTTGAACCGAGTAAATCCCAACTATCTCTAATATCGATGGTAGGACCTAGTAATCTCGAACAATTCCTATTAGGGTAGCAGGACCTAGTAAAACCCAATTATCTATTATATTGTAGTTGGGCCTAGTAAACCCCAACTATCTCTAATATTGTAGTTGGACCTAGTAAACCTCAACTAACTCTATTAGTGTAGTTGGACCTAGTAATTTCGAACAATCTCTATTAGTGTAGTTGGACCTAGTAAACCCCAATTATCTCTAATATAGTAGTTGAACCTAGTAAACCCCAATTATCTATTTTATTGTAGTCGGACCTAGTAAACCCCAACTGTTGGATGGGTTGGGTCTGGAGGTAGTTGGCTCTGTTATGGTTGGATTAGGAGAACCTGTCTCTTTACTGTGTCAAACTAAGGAACCCAAAATACACAATATAAAAAAATTAGATTTATAAACTGTTCCTTTTATTTACACGTTTCCTTTATTAAATAAGTTTATATAATGATTTGAAGCCTTTCAGTCCTGTGCAGAAAATGCTAATTCATTTCTTATATGCAAATTTACTTTTTGCATTTGATGGTTTATTTGTATTCTTCTTGGAATTATAAACTAAGTTAATGCTGGAAACTAAGTACTCTGCAAACCAAGGTGTGACGTTAACAATATTATACCAGGTTATTTGGAGCGACACTTTCCCCACAAACATAATTTATAAAAGCATGCCTTTTCTTTCAAAAAATTAAAAACCCGGCCTTATCAATCGTGACACCGGCTTTTCTTTAAAAAGGCTATCAATTTCGATGATTTGAAGAAGCATATTTCCAAATGACAACGGTACCTAAAGAACACCTTTGCCTGAACCCTGTCTGAAAATGTGCAATAATCTATATTTGATATAATATTGCAAAATCAAAGTTTCTGCAGAGGCCAGCCTTTATTTACCTGGCTCGGACTGGTTTCGTGACTTATTTCAATTCTTGGAAGAAAATTCACCAAAACTTTGTGTTTAAATCCTCAACTTAACCTTATATTTAGCAAGCAATATATTAGAGGTAAATAGAAATGTTTAAATTTTGAAAATAATCAATCAAGCTATTTCATTTTAGTTCAGGATATTTTTTTTACTAACAATTACTTGGCAGGAAAGTTTACTAAATTTATTTGACCAAAGGTTCTCAAGACCAATTTTGCAAACAAAACATCCAGAGCGCAGCGAGGGATGATTTGTTTCTTCCACTCTTACAGACAAACGATATTTTAAGTTTAAAGGATACGACATTGTTATTTTGAGTGAACTCACATTTAAAGATTTGCAAGTCAGATTCATATCGGCACCATTTAATCCCCTTTCATCATATTTAATCCCATTTAATCCCATTTAATCTCATTTAATCCCATTTAATCTCATTTAATCCAATTTAATCCCATTTAATCTCATTTAATCCCATCTAATCTCATTTAATCCCATTTAATTACATTTAATCCCATTTAATCCCATTTAATCTCATTTAATCCCATTTAATCCCATTTAATCCCATTTTATCCCATTTAATCCCATTTAATTCCATTTAATCCCATTTAATCTCATTGCCAAAATCTATCACTTTCCCTAATTTTCCATCTTGAACCTGAAACTCTGTAAAATGTGGATTAATGCACCATAGAGAAAAGGAAATTAAAAGAAATAAAATGTTATCAAGTCAAAAAAATATAAAATATTTTTCCCATTTTAAATACGATACCGATTCAAGCTTAATACCGTTGTAAACACTGTCGCTATATAGGACGGTCGTTGATGAGCTCATTGAAATATAATACTTTTTAATTAATGTTATTAGATCTTTGTCAAAAGGAATTTTTCCACTAAATGAAAAATTTCTGTTGTACCAAATATATCAAATATCTATATTTTGCTGAATCATTAGAAAAATATCTTCAGTCATTTTCTTTAAGTTACGTCATTTACAGATTCTTCATAAAAATAAATAGCTTAAAGTCAGAACACTTTATTTTAAAGTTGAAAATTAGTTTTTTTTGTTCACAGCCATTGCTAGATTCTCAATTTACAATTGAAGGCAAAACACTTTTAACCTGATTGGGATGGATATCTCATGCCTTCCTATTAACGATTATAAAGGGTACCTATAAGTGTGAATCCAACATTTCATTATCAAAGTGAAACGTCACTCGAAATTACGCCTTCCGTCCTTTTAACCTTGAGTATATTGGGTACACTAGGGTATACCATTCCCTACAATACTATGGAAACTGAAGGGGAATCCTCTTCAGCCGATATCCTACCATACAGACACTCTGTAAGTTAACTTAGTATTTTCTTTTGGGAAAAATAAAAAAATTATTTTTTAAACTAATGCGTTTTTAAATATTTAATTTTTGGCTTTTCAAATGGAATTTCTTTAAATTTTAATGTTTAAATTTAATGTTTAAAAACACCATCCAAAATATAAATATTGTTTATCGAAGTTTATTTTAGATCGGGAGTAGTACAGAGTAGGGTTAGATTAGAACAGCAGCGTCAAGAACTAGATGGAGCAATTATTCAATGCGAAGCTTCAAATAGGTCACCAGTTATTTTGATACAGGGTGTCCCATAAAACATGGAAATTAATTGACGACTTTTAAATCGTCTTTGTTTCGCGTGACATTATTACGTAAACATAACTTTTGAGATATTTCAGTTTGAACAATGAATAATTTGAGCTGCCTGTTTTGGGAATTCCTAAATGTGTTTTACCATATCTGCAACTTCAAAACTGACGGAGATATTTGGAAATATATTCAGATTCCAGTTAATTAATAAACAAACAGAACTGACGGAGATATTTGGAAATATATTCAGATTCCAGTTAATTAATAAACAAACAAAACTGTTCAAATGTCTGATATCTCCGTCAATTTTAAAGATACAAAGAAAGTTGATCACATTTTGGAAAGCTTATTAGATGGTACATTTTTGTGATGCACTTACCGTTAATTTATAAATTATTAGAAATCAAAGACGATATTCAAGTCCCATGTTTATTGGGACACCCTGTAGCATAAAATATTTCTTTGATAATGACAATTGTAAAGCTAATCAATTAGAAATAAAACATTTAAAACTTTTTTTGAGTTTTTAAACCTCTTAATCAAATTGTTTAACGTTCCAAATAGGTCTCTGTATAAAAAAATATATAATTCAAAGTTTAAGAATGTTTTATTCTGTTCAAACGAAATATTTAAGAGTTTGATTTCTGAAAGAGGTTTCAAGTTGAAAAATGTTTTCTCAGAATCAATAATTCACAATAAAATTTCCTGCCTTTAAGATTCTAACTTTATTTTACGTTTATTTTAAATTTGTTTCTTGGCAAAATGTTGATTATATAAAAGGCTACCAAATGTTTCCTGGCGCTAATGATTAGAAATTAGAATTTTATATTAATTTTATTTTACAAGGGAAATGCATTTATTATGCATGCATAAGCTCTGCCAACTTGTGGGCAAGATTATAAACAGCAAACACGTGAAAATGATGAAAAAACAAAAAGAGAGATATAGTTTCCTCCCACCCCTTTTTAATCAAATATTTATTCGTTTAAAAATATCTGATTTTTGGTAGACAACAGTTTTATTGAATTCCGCAAATCCAAAACTTATTTAGGCAGTTACTTCTTAGCAACAGCTGTTTACTATGAGAAATCTGATCTACTCTCATAAAAAATGAAATTTAAGATCATTCTCTGATTGACATTTTGAACACAAGGAACTGAGTATTTTCCACTAAATTTCCAAATCCCTATATCATAGCAACCTGAGGGTGTATATGTAAACTTTGATATTTCAAAATTTTGATCGAACAGAATTTTTGGGATGTAAAAATAAGGTGATTGAAAAATTGTGGCAAAAATTCATTTTCATTTTGAAATTAAAATAAAATATAAAAGGCCCAAAAAACATTTCAATATTTTTTATTCTTTATATCACTAACATTCTCTTCTTAATTTTAACAGAATTGATAAATGTTAATTAAAAAAATATTACGTTACAAGAAACCTTGACATAATGTGTTTATGAAGATTAAGAATTAATGTAAAGTATTTTAGTGACAGAGCAAGTGAGCCTGTAGTAAGCCAAGTAGTAGTCCGTGTTCTAGCTCCTCCTGCTAGCGTTCAAATCTCCAGATCAGAGGAATTCTTTAACCTTGGACGCAGGTAGATAAGTATCCAGGTATCCAGGTATCCAGGTATCCAGGTATCCAGGTATCCAGTAATCCATTAGTAGTTATCAAGGTATCATTGTATCCTGGTATCCTTGTATCCAGGTATCATTGTATCCAGGTATCCTTGTATCCAGTTATCCTTGTATCCAGGTATCCTTGTATCCAGGTATCCTTGTATCCAGGTATCCTTGTATCCAGGTATCCTTGTATCCAGGTAAACTTGTATCCAGATATCTCGGTATCCATGTATCCAGATTTCTAGGTATCCTTGCATCCTTGTATCCAGGTATCAAGGTCTCCTTTTTATCCAAGTATCCTTGTATCCAGGTATCCTTGTTTCCAGGTATCCTTTTAATCGGGTATCCAGGTATTCAGGTATCCAGGTATCCAGTTATCCAGGTAACCAGGTATCCAGATATCCAGGTATCCAGGTATCCAGGTATCCAGATATCCAGGTATCCAGGTATCCAGGTTTTCAGGCATCCAGGTATCCAGGTATCCGGGTATCCAGGTATTAAGGTATCCAGGTAAACTTATATCCAGGTAAACTTGTATCCAGGTATCCTTGTATCCAGGTATCCTTGTATCCAGGTATCCAGGTATCCAGGTATCCAGGTATCCAGGTTTTTGCCAGGTATCCAGGTATCCTGGTATCCTGGTATCCTGGTATCCTGGTATCCTGGTATCCTGGTATCCTGGTATCCTGGTATCCTAGAATCCAATTATTCTTGTATTCTGGTGTTCAGGTTTCCAGGTTTAATGTATTCTTAATCTGGGTATAATATATACTAAATCTAGGAATAATGTATCCTGTATCTAGGTGTAGTATCATGTATCTAGGTATAATTTTTCCTGTATCTAGGTATAATGTATCTTGTATCTAGGTATAATGTATCTTGTATCTAGGTATAATGTTTCCTGTATCTAGGTATAATGTATCCTGTATCTAGGTATAATTTGTCTTGTATCTAGGTATAATGTAACCTGTATCTAGGTATAATGTAACCTGTATCTAGATAATTTGTAGCCTGTATCTAGGTATAATGTATCCTGTACCTAGCTATAATGTAGCCTGTATCTGTGTATAATGTATCCTGTGTCTAGATATAATGTAAGTATCTAGGTATAATGTAGCCTGTATCTAGATATAATGTATCCTGATTTAGGTATAATGTAACCTGTATCGAGGTATAATGTAGCCTGTATCTAGATATAATGTATCCTGTATTTAGGTATAATGTATCCTATATCTAGGTATAATGTATCCTGTATCTAGGTTTAATGTATGCTGTATCTAGGTATAATGTATCCTGTATCTAGGTATAATGTATCCTGTACTGTATCTGGTCTGAATATAGAACCTGCTGTATCAATCAGTTTTCAGAACAATCCTCTTTCAATCCAAACCTTACAGGTAGATTTTACTCAAAAATCCAAACCTTACAAGTAAATTTTACTCAAAAATCCAAACCTTACAGGAAAATTCTACTCAAAATCCAAACCTTACAGGTAAATTCTACTCAAAAATCCAAACCTTACAGGTAAATTCTACTCAAAAATCCAAACCTTACAGGTAAATTCCACTCAAAAATCCAAACCTTACAGTAAATTCTACTCAAAAATCCAATCTTATAGGTAAATTTTACTCAAAAATCCAAACCTTACAGGTAAATTCTACTCAAAAATCCAAACCTTACAGGTAAATTCTACTCAAAAATCCAAACCTTAAAGGTAGATTCTACTCAACAAGCCAAAAAAATATTGCTAAAAGCAGCTGCGGTTTATTTAAGTACTAGGCAGACCTCTAGGCAATTATAAGCAAGTTTACAAAAAAATTATAAGGCGGTAAATAATCATTCCTGACGTTTATTTAGATAACTAAAAAAGTATTGTTTTGACACTGTTCAAACTTTTTGGCTTTTCTAACTAACACATGCCCCTCACTCTTTAGGCTTAAAGCGGGGTATTTATACCTACTGCCTGAATGCCTTATTTTACCTTTAACCCACTAAATCTATATTTAAACCTATTACCTATTTTTGTATATCTCTTTGGAAAGCCTTGAACAAAAGGAATTAGATTGCATAATTTTTGCTAGGAAATTTTGCGTAGATTTTTGCACAAATGCCTTTACAGAGAATTTGCACTTATTTAGTTTTCCTTAAATAGAAATTTAGCTATGAAAATTTGGCAAATATTTTTGCATATTTGAATTCGCCGTGATAAGAGCTTTTCTAATTTGTATGATTTATCACAATTGCTACTTGATATTGCAATAAATATTTAATTTTTTTTTTAATTTGCATTTTTTTGCAGATTATTAAAGTAAAGCCAAAGAGCTGTCCAAAAATTTATCAAATGTTATAAATTTGTATCACAATAAAAAATAGAGGGGGGTCCCTGGAATCCCCCCTCCAGCGTCTTTTGAGGTAAACTCCATCTGAATAGGCTTAATGCTACAAAAATAGTTAATTTTAACCTTTTCAACCAATGGAATTTTTTCCCTTACATTACTATTGCATTTTTATTCTCTTAAGTTTTCTTAAACTGTACGGTGTACGGTGTACACTGTACAGTTTTCATAAACTGTACGGTGTACACCCTTTTTTATGTTTCTTTCGCTGAATAAAACTAAATATGTAAATAAGACAAATCTTTGTCTAATGGGTGGAACTGTGATTAATTGTCACAGCTTACTGAGACAATGATTCCACTTTGCATGCAGATTTATTCACTGTATGACTATTGGATAGATATATATACGTTACACAATATACGATATATTTATCACACCTGTATGCTGAGTCCATTAGCGCCTGATCCAAGAAGGGTTCTGTCATGTGTTTGGTGTCTATTATGAGCCAATAGAAATAGTATGGCGGTAATATTTATCTTTGTGTCTCAATTAGAGATATGAAACCTTCAATCGGCGCTATCAGTAAATGGAAATATTTACTTCTACTGAAACTATAGTGATATATTATGCAATATATATAATACATGCATGTAACCATAAATTTATTAAATCAAATGAAAAAGAAAAAAAATTATATATTTATTCTTTTTAAACCAAACCCAAACTTAATTATCAATTAGCACATCTACCTAAATCTATCAATCATTAACAACAATCAGAGTTACAATTATTGATATATTTCAGTTATTAAACCATTTATTAAAGCACAAATTTTGTGCAAATCTATGTAATTAAATAAAAAATTTATAAATTGTGTTAAAGTTAGAAAAAAGTTTGTGATTATTTCCACCAACTTCTCCTGGTGCATTGTTGCGTTTACATAAATAAAGTAATAATCTTTTTTGTTTTTATGTCCGATCATAGCTCATGAACCCCTTGACCGATTTGTCACAAATTCTTATTGGCAAACTTGGTATAACTACAGGATTGCTCAAAGCTTGTTTTAAATTTTTAACTTGACAGTTTGACTTTATACAGAAAATTAAGATAATAAGTAAATAGGTGATGTCATAGTCTGAGAGAAATGTATTTAAATTAATTTTATAAAAGCTTCCAAATACCACCCATCTATATTACTCCTTTATATCTAGGAATATCTCCAAATACCACCCATCTATATTACTCCTGTATCTAGGAATATCTCCAAATACCACCCATCTATAATACTCCTTTATCTAGGAATATATCCAAATACCACCCATCTATATTACTCCTTTATCTAGGAATATATCCAAATACCACCCATCTATATTACTGCTTTATCTAGGAATACATCCAAATACCACCCATCTATATTACTCCTTTTTCTAGGAATATATCCAAATACCACCCATCTATATTACTCCTTTATATAGGAATATATCCAAATACCACCCATCTATATTACTCCTTTATCTAGGAATATATCCAAATACCACCCATCTATATTACTCCTTTATATAGGAATATATCCAAATACCATCCATCTATATCACTCCTTTATCTAGGAATATCTTCAAATACCACCCATCGATATTTCCTTTATCCTGGAATATCTCGAAATACCACCCATCTATATTACTCCTTTATCTAGGAATATATCCAAATACCTTACTCCTTTATCTAGGAATATCTCCAAATACCTTACTCCTTTATCTAGGAATATCTCCAAATACCTTACTCCTTTATCTAGGAATATCTCCAAATACCACCCATCTATATTACTCCTTTATCTAGGAATATCTCCAAATACCTTACTCCTTTATCTAGGAATATCTCCAAATACCTTACTCCTTTATCTAGGAATATCTCCAAATACCACCCATCTATATTACTCCTTTATCTAGGAATATCTCCAAATACCTTACTCCTTTATATAGGAATATCTCCAAATACCACCCATCTATATTACTCCTTTATCCAGAAATATCTCCAAAGACCACCCATCTATATTACTCCTTTATCTGGAATATCTTCAAAAGGATTATCTCTAATCCAAAGGACTCTTTCTCTAAGGATTAACAATACAATAGATCCAATACTTCAGTTATCCTTTTTTAGAATGTTGCAATGCTACAAACTTTCGCATTTTTTTGCATTTTGCAGAATAAAATCTAGATAACTTTTTCCTTCATTGCAGAGGTATTTTAGAGTTAAAATTCACCATTATATCGGTGTAAACTCGACTTTAAAGCCCGAAAGATATGGGAAAACGTAAGCACTGAATATTAATATTTATTTTATGTTACTTGGATCTCTTGTAACATTTTTCAATTTAACCTATTAAATGCGTTTTTTTGCGGAAAATATTAAAACCTAAAAAATTCGCGGATTTTTTTGGTGTTGGTGGATTTCCCCACCAAATGTAAAATGATATTTTCTAGTCAAACCTTTAATTTTTTAGACCTTCAAAACCTTCCCAGGGGTCAAATTTAGACACAATCGGTTCAGCCGTATCAACCTTTTATACTTTTATACATTCAAAATAACACCCACATTTAGATAGACTATTCAACAAAACTGTACTTTTTAACAGTCCTTTTTTAGTACAATTTACATTTCTTCTAAGTAGAATTTGATATAAATTGGATTAAAGTGTTGTTGTATAGCCAGGCATCTTGTGGTGAATAAGAAGATTGGATTGTTTAAAATACAAAATATAGAATTTATCTACTTTCAACACTTCTTTACTCTGTATACAATATTTTAAAGTTCCAATACAAATAGACAAATACATATAAATAGAATAAAAAACAAGAAAAAGAGAGGTGTCACGTTAAACAGATTAGTACTTTGATTTCTAAATCAAAATCAAGTAGCAAGCATATCTTGAAAATGTTTTCTTTATTTACAGTACATAGTTCTTAAAGAATGTGTCTAAACTTCCACTAATTATATACTCAAGGTTCAACCATAGGACCAGAGTTAGTTGATGACGTCATTGTACCTGCTAAACTCAACACTTGACAAATGATAGCTCAAACTTTATATTAAGGCACAAATTGTGCAAAACTTATTTTTAATTTTGGAGAGCTTTTCTTTTTTTCCAGGGGGGGGGAGGATCCCTGAATTTAAAGAATGGTATGATATTGAAATTGGAAGAAATTTTGAGAATTTAACACTTTTCGAGCTGGAAAAAAGTGACATTTCCATGTATGGATCACACAATGATTGTGAATCAGCAAACGTTTGCTAATCAATAATATGGATTGATCAAGATTTGACTTTTTTTACTTTTTAAATTTTAATATTTTTGATAGGTATAGATTCTAGACTCTTGCTTACCACAATAGATTAATTATATGTCAGGTTAATGTTAATGTTATATGTTAAGTAGATGGGAGAAAAATAATTATCTCATGTAAAAATCCCGTGTTCATCTTTTGAAATAAACTCAAGTTTTCACCGTGTAAAAACTCGGTCCTAGACCCGTGATCAAATCTTCGACATTCACCTCGACAACACGTGAATTATCACAGGATATTCACGGGTCACTCGTGTGAAATACACCAAATAACCTTGTGTTCTTCACGGGGTTTTGTTAGTTGGGAAAATGGTTTTCATTGAAATTTCTTTAGATGAAGAAGTAAGATAGAATTTTCTTTCAAATTAGTTTACCTAACTTTCTCTTCAGTTGAAAACAAAAGACTGTGGTTATAAAGTTTGTAGACGAAAACTGGAAAGTTAGAAAGATAAGATTTTTAGGTTTTGTTTTAAGATAAAACTAATTATACAGACTTCTCTGCATTTAGTATTCTATGCACATATATGCTTACTATCAACTTAATTCTCTAAGAGAGGGGAAGAAGAGGGGGGGGGGGGCATCTCAAATCCACATTTTTTCCTCCATCTTTTCTTATTATTTTCTGTTAATTTTATGTAATTATTTTTTAAAATTTTTTTTTCTATAAAAGTATTTTTTATTTGTTTTTTTATTTTAGGAAAGGAGTCTAGGAGAGTGGGTGGCTACAGCTGAGGTTTATCCCACTCAAGGAAATTAAATTTATCAATAATTCACTGTTTCCAATATTTTTTTTTAACTTTTTATGAGAAACAATATCTGGAATTCTACCTCCTTCATTTTTGTAATTATTTTAGATTAAATTTTTTTTTTTCTGCATTTTTCTTCTGCGATCATAAAAAACCCTTTTTGTTTTAATTTATTATTTTATTTTCATCATTTCATTTATTCAAAAATCAAAATTATTGTCATGTGGCACATTTTTTAGTTCTAACCAACCAAATACCCTAAGGTGCCACACACAATTGGGCCCGATGGGTTCAATCCAGGGGGCGGATATATTTATCTAGCTCCTGTCCTGGTTGGCTGTATGCGTACGGTTGACATAGACGAATATTTCACTAAAGGTTATAATGCAAGGAAAGTTATTTCAGAAGTGTGCGCATCTTTTGTCAAAAGCAGAATAAAATAATAAGGATTAAAAATATCTTATTTAAAATTTGTTTAACCAAAAAAACCTGAATATTTAATTTGTGAAGGAGATATCCTGTTAGAGAGAACTCAGGGGTTTCAATGGAACCAAGATACCTTCTCCCCAAGCTCTAATGATGATGATGATAAAAAAGAATCTATAGGAAGATATACAGATCAGCAGAGTACAAGGCTAGAGTACCATGTGGTGCCACAGGTACGGATGGCCAACATATTTTATTTTCGAAATTTTCGAATTTTTTTATTTTGTTTAACATTTCTTTCAACACTGATTTCGAATATTGGTTTCCGTTTAGATTTAACTTTTTTTAAATGAAGCCCATCCTTAACCCCAGGTTGGAGAGGATATTCATGTGGTTGGATGTCAAGGATCTAACCCTCTTCTTCCTCAGATTGTTCTTCACGATCAATGGAATATATCAGTTCATTGTAAGTAGTAACAATAACATTTTGCCATTTTGTCTAATACCGTTTTGATATATTGTCCATTAAGCATCTGTTTGAAAATATGTAATTTTGTCATATATCATTTTGTCAAATGTCATTTTGTCAAATGTCATTTTGTCAAATGTCATTTTGTCAAATGTCATTTTGTCAAATGTCGTTTCGTCAAATGTCATTTTGTCAAATTTCGTTTGTCAAATGCAATTTGGCCATTAGAAGTTTGAAAAATGTAATTTTAACTTTTTCTCTGCTCATAAAAGTTTGCAAGAAAAAACTTGGCAGTTTCATCTTTGAAGTCTTAAAATTAAATTTTGATAAGTTTGTCTTGTGGCTGATGTTAATTTATTTTCCTGTGGGGGGGGGGGGGTCTCTCCCCTTTCAGGTGGGTGTGAACCTGTTGGCTTTCCCCTCTTATTGTTCAACAAATATTGAAAGATGGCTGTTTTTTCCTCTTTTATCTCAGTCGGAAATATGTTTGTTTCATCTATAAAACGGCATATTTTTTATGCAAAAATTATAGTTTTTTTTGTTTACAAAAATAAATTTTCAATTGTAACTAGATGGACCTTATGTGAAGCTTGAACTAGAAAACACAGAGAAGATAAAGGAAGGAGACAATATTTTCCTAAACTGTCAAGTACTCTCCTACCCTCCCTACCAAACCATACAGTGGATACGACAGGTACAGGATGAAAGGAGATAATATTTTCCTAAACTGTCAAGTACTCTCATACTCAATTTTGTGATTGTAAACTATATCTGTATACAGATACATTTATTTTAGCAATAAACTTTATCTTATCTTATCTTACCCTCCCTACCAAACCATACAGTGGATTAGACAGGTATAGGATAGAAGGAGATAATATGTTTTTAAACTATAAAATAACTTTATATTTTTCCTTATACTCATGCAACATTTGCCCCCTTTTAGTTGTACAAATATAAACATATTTTTGTAAAATTCTTGTGCATACATTCCACCATTTTATAGAATATTGATATTTAATAATTCATTCGAAACTGTTGTAAAGCATAATTAACATCATAAACTATAATTTATATATCTTAACATTCAACTATCTGATTATGTTATTATAGTTTGAGGTTTAAACCCACATTAATCTTCAAGTTCTCAGTTTATTCCTAAAGATGGAAGCCTTATTACTTAACCCTAAACAGGCGGGAAAACGGGGTAAAACATATGCTCATCAAGAAACCAAAAAAATATTATACCTAACATTCTAAAAATTAAAAGTTTTTCAGATAAAAGTTTTTTCTGTTTGGTTTTAATTGAAGGATCTGATCTAAAAAACTCTTGCAACCAACTTTGTCGTAGACTTGAAATATTTCAAACTATACATTCTGTTAGATCAAATAACCTACGTTTGAAATGTCAAAGGTTTACACTATATCAGGTTGCAGAGATATTGGAATTAGAGAATATTGGTTTGTGGCTAAAACTCAAATTAAATGTTTAGAATGAGGACCTAGAATATCAGATGGAAACTAATGTAATGATAAGAGCTGACCGACTTTACATTAGGTATATCATATTAATTAAGATAAAACTAAATAAAATTTTTATAATTTTATAATTTAAATAAATCATTTTTGTGGTGATTAGAAATTAAAAATTGTAATTTCAATAATTCAGGAATATAACCCGAGAGCAAGGGGGGAAATATGTTTGCAGAGCCAGCAACAAATTCTCATCCCAAAGATCTAATATTCTAGACATTGAGATTTCAGGTCAGTTTTATATACTCATATCTTACATCAAGAATATATTATTGGAAATATATTTTATGCAAGAAATGTTATCCCCCCGTCTCAAATTATTGCTAAAAGAACTGAGTTTTTGCCACAAACTTAGCTAATATAATCGCTAAATAGGATGGATATGTTCACTCTTTAGTTGAAAGATCACATAGAATTACACTTAGTACAGTCCTCTTAATGAAACCTTATGATATTGGAAATATTTGTTTAGAGAGATGGGTTTGGGAGGTTCGGGACTGTAAAACAGTAAATCAAAGTTCTAGTTCATTCCTCATCGATTGTTTATGGTCAGGAGCTGATCAGCAAAAAGAAACTGTTTTTATATTTGAGGTAAGAGGTTTTACCTGTAGGTAGGAGGTAGGTTATAAGGTAGGTAAATAATTAGGTAAATATTTAGGTAGGTAGGTAGGTGGAAGGATAGTCTTGTTTTTTTTGTCCTAGCACTCTCAATTTTGACATTAAAACCATAATTTTTTTTAATGTTAATAAAAAAATTCAAAGGATTTCTTGTAAATTATTTTTTATGCATATGGTAGGGTAAAGGGCAGTAAAAAAATAAAATCTTAAATACTAATTTTATTTTTAAAAAGCCCTTGAAAAATTGATTTAAAACATGTATCACACTTTGATAATTGTTTTAAACAAAAAAAATTTTATATTTTTTTTTCCTTTTTACCCAAACTACAAAAGCTATCTATCTAATTTTACAGGGTTAAGTATTAAAGTAAAATCTGACAGAACAAAAATATTGATAATTACTTCAATAATCAATTTTGTCCATTTTAAACATTTTACAGCGGTTTACATTTTAAATAAGAATTATTGCCAGGTTATGAAATCTGGTACTAGGGAACTGATCGCAAATGTGAGCACTGATGTCCCTTCTCTGTTTGTATCTCAGCTTCCACCTTCCACTGACTTCATTGTAACTGTCAGGAGTGGGGTAGGTTATTTAGTCCAGTAGATATGTCAGGAGCAGGGTGGTTATTTAATCCGGTAAATATGTCAGGAGCAGGGTAGGTTATTTAATCTAGTAACTATGTCAGGAGCAGGGTAGGTTATTAGATTCCAATAAGTCTGGCAGGAGTGGGGTAGGTTATTAAATTTCAACAAGTTATTCAATTTCAATAATTCCCCTTTTTCCCTTTATTTCCTCTTTACTCCGCCCCCTCCATTAGATCTTTTATCCCTGGAACTTGAATAGATTGAATCTACAAATTACAATCCACATACATTATTTTAACCATAAAAAAGGCAAAGGGGGGTTTGCCCTTCCCCCTTCTAGTTTTGACGATTCTTTTTTTAAAATTTAAAGAATATATTTTATTTTATATGAGTGCAAAAAAAAACTTGAATGGCTCACAAGTTTTAATGATTAGCTGTACTTTTTAAAACTGTATTTTATAAAAGCCCTTGAAATACTGACATAAGGAATGTGCCTTATTTAATATATTTCATTTATAAGGCACGTAATTTTGCATTTTATCCTAAAATTAAAGTATTTATAAATTAATAATAATGAACTTGCCTTTAAAGATCAGTCAAAATACAAAGTGGTTTCTCCCTTCCATTTCTAATATATTTAGGCAAAGTAATTTTGAATATCATTTCATGTTGGGAGTTTGTAAGGTGCAGAGAACTGAATTCTATTTTGTAAAAGTTACTTTATTGAATTCTCTAGACACAGCTTAGTTTCTGTTGTTTGTCAAATTATAATCATTGAAACTTTTCACCAAACATTTCAACTTTCCTTTGTTGCCAGCATAATGTTTAGTGAGGGGTGTATATTCTAGAACAACATGTAATGTTTAGTGAGTGGTATATATTCTAGAACAACATATAATGATTCAGAGCCATTTATCTATTTATTTCCTCCTCAGGGAGGTGTTGGATGTTTTTAAAATTGGAGGGAATAAATAATATCAGTATGTTTTACTTCATTTTAAAACTTACTTTCATAAACAATCCCCCCTGCCCCTAAGATGTCTCACTTTCTTGGAAGCAAAGAGTGGTTAAGGATTTGTCTTCAAAATATATACCCTTTATATGTAAATAGATGCCTGGTGCTGTCTACTTTTCTCCTATTAGTATGGAAACCTTTACTCTAAGATCTGAAGAACAGCTAGCAACCACTACTAGAATATCTAACCCAGGGTATATAAGGTAAACTAACTGCATTACTTATTCACACTTTCAAACTCTATAACTGACTAGAACAATTTCCTGAATTAATGAAATTCTAACCTTTAACAAATTATTTTGAGATGTCCCTGATCGCCGAAACTATAAATTATATCTAAAAAATGTATCAAATTGGTCAAGTCTAAATATATAAACATGAATGGTGTTTTCAAATCGGTTAACATGTATCTTAAAAAAAAATTCTGAGAAAAGTGAATGAGTCTTTTTTTCTAAAATTTTCTCAAACATTTCTTCTTAAAACACTCTTTAAAAATTTCCTATAAAAATTTTCACAATATTCCTTTAAAAATTTTAATAGTTCAAAGTTTCTTGGAGGCAGCGGGTGTTGATATACATTTAGTTTCTACAGAATACATTCCACAGATTTAGATTGGATGAAAGGTTTTCTAAATAATTAATACAATTTTAAACTTTAAATAAATGTACTAATTTTAACAATAAAGCCGTCAAAAATAGTATAAAACCATAGAGAATAGAATATATATTAAAGGGGAATTTACTAGAAAAAAGTGTAAAACTGCCATTTTGTTGTACTGTTTCCATACTGCATGTGTACTTCACATATTTATTCTATATAACCTTTTGGGCCCTGTAATATCATTTTATAGAAAATCTAAAATTTTTGCTAAAAGAAAACCAAATTATGAAATAGGCTGGTTTCATAATTGACCAATGATCATTTCACATAGAATAGACTCTATGCCTTTCACTTTACAAACCATGATTTTCCATTATAACTATAAATCAAATGATGTTTTTTATTCACCTAATTAATTTTATAAAAGCTCAGAAGGTCTAGGGGGAGGGGGGGGGGGAAAGGAATCATTTTCTACATGAACCTCGGTATTTCTTTAAGTTTTTCTTTGCAAAAAGAAAAAAGAAAAAAACTTTTGACAGATTTTGAATTAGAGATTAAAAAAATGACTAAAATATGACGATACTAACTTTGTTGTTTTTGGTATTCCGTGAATAGGAATATATCCAAATACCACCCATCTATATTACTCCTTTATCTAGGAATATATCCAAATACCACCCATCTATATTACTCCTTTATCTAGNTTGATACTGGTGAAAGTATTCACTGCAGTAACATCCAAGTATCTTTCATACAAAGTCAATAAATAATTTTTTTTATATATTCATGACAAGTACATTAAAGTAATACTGACAACTCACTAATATAGACTTTATATCAACAAAGTCAAAAAAATTTTTTCTCTATTTTACTTTTCCATTGGTCCTAGAAATTCAAAGAAATAATATATATTTCTATTGAAGGTTTTTACCAATGGTTGGAATACTGCTAGGTCTACTCCTAATCCTCTCAGTTTTACCTATCTCAGTTCATCTTCTTGTCAAGCATAGAGATATCTCAAATCTACAACGCCAGGTGAAATAATATTACAAAAATAATTTGAACAAACCAGGAGGTTCCATTTGCCTGAGGCTCAAGCTAAAAATTAGTAAATGCTAACTTATTGACACTCCCCCATTGAAATAATGTTACAAAAAGAACAAATCCTATGTCATTATATTTTTATTTAAATGCTCTATAAATGATTTTTTTTTGGGTCTTAAGCTATAAAAGTTAATTTTGCACATATGGTTGATGGTGCACTGATGTTTACAACATAATTTTTCAGGGTATGAGAGGACTAGAGGATGATGGAGGCCTGCTGTTAAGAACAATGGAGACTACCCCAGGAACTCCTTCATGTACCCTATCTACTCCATCCTCTTGTATGCACCTAACAACCCATTCAACTCAACCCAACACAATACATACTAATCATTTAGTTCATCAACAGAGGATACCATCAAACAGTAACACAATAGATTTAACAGATGAAGGCTCATCAACAACTCATCAGCTGTTATCATCCTATCTTTCATCATCTAGTATAGAGGAGAGACCTATACCTCCTCCACCTTCATACTCAACCCCAGTACCTTTGTCATTATCATCATCTTCATCATCATCATATCCAACATCTGTTTCTCCACCGGAGCATTTTCAGAGCACTGGTTCCACCTCTTTGTCTTCCAAGAGTAACCTAAAACCAATGGAGTCTTCCTCTCTACCTATCTCAACCCCTGAGGAATACTGTAGTCCTTTACCCAACCCTAACACCTTTACACCTGTAGTAGTGAGGACCAGTAGTCTTGAAAATATTAATTCTCCAAAAACAAAAACAACCTTTTATACTTATCAAACTATGGATAGGAAACCGTTGCCAACAATTCAAGTTTTTCAAGGTAGGTTTGGTTTTCCAATGTAAATATCTGACTTAACCTTTATTACCACTTCAAATATTGAAGTTTTTTGTCTACAATACCAAACTGGTATTAAACAAAAATAGTCAAAGAGGTATATAGTTCGAAATTAGTGAGAAGCAGTTTTTAGGATCCAAAATAGAAAAGAAAAATTCTCTTTTAAATTAAAGTCCGGTAGTAAATGAGATTATGTTTACACAGACTAAATACATAGGATTTTAAAATCTTTTGAATAGAAGATTATTAGAGATTTTATTAGCTTAGGTTGACAGTATATTGTAAAACTTGGAAACTTTTTCAATATTACAAAAGAATGTGGATACAATGTCTTTTATGGATATATATTGAATACAATGTTTTTATGGATAAAATGTTCTTGTATGGATACATAGTCCTTAGTATGAAATTGGTTTCAATGTCCTTGTATACATATTGGATACAATGGCCATGTATGAATACTAGATATAATGTCTATGTATTATTATTGGATACTAGGCTATTAATGCGATTCCCAACCATATTTTTTTTCAACTTTTAATTGTGGCTTAATCTGTGAGTATCGTCTCTTTGTACAGTATTAAACAAATTTTTTTTTTTAATTTGAGGATTTCATAATATTTTTTGCGCATTTTCAAAATTTTACTAAATTAAATAGTTTAATTTAATAGTTTATTTTAAGATTACATATTTAAAGTCTGATGGGCCATAACCCTGGGGCAATGTGAGGTCCCACACAAAATTTGGGCCTTTAGGTTCAGCTGTTTTGACGTTTAATGGATACAAACAAACAGACAAGCTAAATTTATTAATAGAAAATATCCCTATATTGATACATATTGAATACAATGGCCATGTCTGGATACTAGATACAATGTCCTTGTAATGATACGTACAAGACAATGTTCCTGTATGTCTTTGTATTAAAACAAGGAAGGAAAAGAGAATATTGTTATATTTTTCCTCTGTATTGAATTGATCAGTGCTTTTAGTGCTTATTGAATATCTGTCATGTGTCAAAACTTTCTTCAGCCTCAATCCTTCCATCTTATCCTTCTTTACCAAACATTTATCTTATTTACCAACCATTTACCTTCTTTATCAACCATTTTCCTTCTTTACCAACCATTTACCTTATTTACCAACCATTTTCCTTATTTACCAAACATTTACCTTATTTACCAACTATTTACCTTATTTACCAACCATTTTCCTTCTTTTACAACCCTTTTCCTTCCTTACCAACCATTTTCCCTCTTTACCAACCATTTTCCTTCTTGTACAACCATTTTCCTTCTTTACCAACCATTTTCTTTCCCTACCCAAAATTTTCTTCTTTATGAACAATCGTTTGATCTTTCATTTTCTTTTAATCCTAAAATTTCCATTTAATCCAACCATTTTCTTTTTATCCTAAGGGTGTCCAAATAAACATGAGAATTCAATGACGAATTCGATATGAATTAGCATTGAAATACCTGATTTCAAAAGACTTAACATTATTATGTCTACTAGAGTTTATTTCATGAAAACGGTGAATCGCTGTAAAGATGTGTCCATAATGTCTTTGTAAGATGGACAGGGAAGACGGACAAGTTTACTCTGTTTGTATACCGTAATTTTCTTGTTTTACTACGTACACCCATAAACAAAGAAATTGTAAACATAGTTGACGAAAATCTCACGAATTACAGCTTTCTCAGTAGGTATTACTATACCAAATCAAAGAAAAGACGATATCAAATTTGTCACTGAATTCCCATGCTTATTGGGACACCCTGTAACATTTTCTTTTTATCTTACCATATTCTCTTTTAAGAAAACCTTTTCTTTCATTATACTAAACATCAACAAGTAGCAGACCAAAAAAAACAATTTGTTACACCTGAAGCAATAATATATATAAGAAAAACAAATCTACTAACATATACAGAGCAATTACTATTACAGCATATTAAATAAAGGGGGGAATATTATATTGCATATTTTGCAAGGTCTTATTGACTTTTTTAAATTTTAAATACATTGATAACCAGAATACTCTGAAATAGTAAGACAACTTTACAGCAATATTTAAGTGTATTTGATGTTGTTACAAAGCAAATAGTTTTACTTGACTCTTATTAAATCACTAAATAAATTAAATTGGTCTGTTTACACTGCACAATTGCTGTGTCCCATGCTTATGGGGCTTTTTAAAGTCTTATTTTGAGTTTTCTAGTTATCACTGTATAAATTTCCAAGAAACTGAATAAGTATAATGAGTTTTGACTTTATTAACCCTATCCCTGCTGGGGTACCTGAAAACCAGGATACGTTGGGGGGGGGGGGGGTCAATTTGACCCAACCCCCTCTAAATCTCATGTTTGATGTCCAAATATGCAAAAACAATGTTCAAGAAATTATAAAGAATACATTTTTGAAGAGCCCTTGACCATGTCATTTACAATATTCCAAAAAATTTCAAAATTTTAAATAACTTGATGTGTAATTAAAAAAAAACTAAAATGTGCAAATTTCTTTTAACGGTTTGTATGCAAATAATTTGCTAAATTTATTTTGTAAAATTTTTTTAATCCGTTTCCTGATGTCATTGTCTTCCAAAAAGTTAAAAATTATCATAATCCGACAACTAAAACTGGGTCAACACAAAGATTTAGTTTGTTACAGGAAAAAATAGTCATTCATTATTATTATTATTATTAAACAAATATATTCCTAGATGTTGGAAGGGGTGAACGTGTTCAATCTGGTCTAAAGAGTATATTAAAGGTATTGTATATAGATTTAATAATAAGATTTTTTTCTTCTTTCCATTCTATAGTATGACATGTATCACTGCAAAACATGAATAAATTGTATCGTTAAAAAAGATGAATATGTTGAATTGTATCAAAGGATACATTGTATTGTACAAGATAAATATATTTCAATGTAAAAAATGAATATAAAGCATCAAATAAATATATTGTAGAGTGCAGAATAAATATATAGTGTAATGTATCAGATGGATATATTTCATTGTATAAATTAAATATATTATATTTAATAAGACTAGGATAATATATTGTATTATAGAAGAGGATGGTATATTGTAGTATACAAAAGAATGGTATAATGTATTGTATAAGAGATGGTATAGTGTATTGTATAAGAGATGGTATATTGTATTTATTAGACGATGGTATATTGTATTGTATTGTATTGTATTAGAGGATGGTAAATTGTATTGTATTAGAGAATGGTATATTGTATTGCATAGGAGGAGGGTATATTGTATTATATAATATATAAAAGAACGGTATATTGTATTGTATAAGAGGATGGAAATTGTATTATCTAGGAGAATGGTATATTGAATTGTATAAGAGGATGGTATATTGTATTGTATAAGAGGATGGTATATTGTATTATATAAAATAATGGTAAATTGATGGAATATTGTAAAAGACAATGTTATATTGTATAGTATAAGAGGATGGTATATTGTATTATCTAGGAGAATGGTATATTGAATTGTATAAGAGGATGGTATATAACAATACTGTCAATTTACAAATCTATTAATCAATGTTTGTTCTTCTGATGATATTCGGGGCTTAAGAGCATAGATACTTAAACATGGATTATCTAGAATAAACATATATCCAGATATATAAAGTTGTAATCTCTGTTTGTCTGTCTGTCTGTTTGTCCGATCATAACTTAGTAACCCCTTGAATTATTTTCCTCAAATTTCGATTGGGAACTCGTAAGACACATGGAAATATTCTTAGCAGTTTTAAGATTTTAAGTTAAGTGATTCCACCTATAACGAAAAAAAACAGCTAAAATCGTAGTTTACGACCAAGCGCGGGTAAACGACGGGAGTAACAATGAGCACCCCGGGGGGCAACGCTGAGTTTTCAAGCTAGTATAAAGTGCTTGGTTCACTATGTATATTCATATATATATATATATAGAGATTTATAGTATATTCTATGTATATTTACGGGATAAAGTGAGATTTACAGTGTATTCTATGTATATTTACGGGATAAAGTAAATATACGATAGTACAAACTACATATATATTCATATATATGCTGGCAAGGCATATATATTGTATAATGTATATTTCTTTGTAAAACAAAAATATTAAGTTGAATTAAAAAAAGTATGTTCTTATTATTTTTAAATTTAAAAATAAAAACCTGTTTTTTAGGAAAGACACAGCTGTGGAAGAGAAAAAAGTTTAATGGCAGACCAAAACTGTTGATACAGAACCAGTATTTAGTATTATGGAGTGCAACTGAAAAGAATACAAGCATGTACTATATCATTTAACAGTGTACATGATACAGAATCAGTACACTGTATCACTGAGGAGTGAACAGGATACAGCTAAGCATTTCACTGTATCATTGAGCAGTAAACGTGATACAAAAGTATTGTGCTATATCTTTGAGCGGTGCAGATAATACAGAAGCAGCGCACTGTATCATTTAGCAGAGTAAGGATGCAGACACAGTGTACTACTGTATCATCTAGCTGTGTACTGTATCACTGAGCAGTGTACAGGACACCGAAGCAGTGTGCTGTATCATTGAGCAGTGTACAGGATACAGAATCAGTGTACTTGATATAAAATCCGTACACTATATCAATGCTCAGTGTTCCTTATACAGAAGGAGTGCCAGTGCATCGTATCATTAAGCAGTGTACTGTATCATTAAGCAATCACATGATACAAAAGGAAGAAATTGTAAAGAAAAGAAAACATTACACAGGATAAAATGCATGTGGTATATGAATATGATACACTGTACAATGTGTACCATACAATATACACCGTATATTGCATACTGTACACTGTACACTTTATACTGTACAAGTGAGACAAAAAAAAAATAAGAAACATACCCCATTTTTTTCTGTATGTACAATATTTAGAAAGATTGTTTTTTTTTCTTCTAACGAACAAATCAAAGCTATATTTTTTAAATCCTTAAAAAAACAGTTTTCCATGTATAGATTTTCCTCAACAGGATTCTTCTTCCCAGAATATTTTTTTCAAAATTGTAGTTAACCAATGTAATAATCAAAATTAAATTGTGGTTGAAGAAATGGTTAGTCCTGAAAGAGACTGCATAAACGTATTTTTAAATGAAATAGAGACTTTTCTGATAGACAACAGTACCTAAAGAGAATAGAATATATATTAGAGGGGAATTTAGAGAATCTCTCGGTATGAATTTGTTCAGTCCCTTTCAGCCTGAAAAGGAGTTCAAAGTGTACAAATCATGTAAATGTTCACAAATTATATGCAGTAGAGTACATTAATACAGTATGTTCCCTAGACTATCTATTTCAATTTTGAATTTTTTAAAGCTGTTAACCCTATTCCTGCTGGGGGGGGGAGTCAATTTGACCCCCCCTGTAGTTTTTTTTACATAACTCAAAAAGTATTGGTCTGAGGCTGTTGAAATTTTCTGACTTTTCCTACATACCCAAAGCCCTCCCTGTAGGCCTAAAACCGGGCTTTAATACTAACTGCCTGAGTCCTCAGGCACACTGCCTGAATGACTGCTTTTTCCTGTAACAAACTAAATCTTTGTTTTGACCCACTTCCACTTGTCAGATTTTGATAAAATTTAGCTTTTTGGAAAGCCTTTGACATAAGGAAACAAATTGCACAAGTTTTGCGAAAATAAATTGCAAATTTTTTGCAAACAACCTGTCAAAGTAAATTTGCACATTTTTAATTTTTCTTGATTAAAAATTAGGTTATTTAAAATTTTGCAAAAATTTTTGCATATTTGAAATGGCATGGTCAAGGGCTTTTCAAAAATGTATAAGTTTTACTATATAACTGGATTTTGCGATAAAAATTTAAATTTTTGCAAATTTGCAAATTTGTTTTGCAGATTCTAAAAGTAGAGCACAAGAGCTTTCCAATGATGTATCATTTGTCATATTGGGACACCAAACATGGGAATTAGAGGGGGGGGTCAAATTGACCCTCCCCCCAGCCAATCCTGGTTTTCAAGTACCCCAGCAGAGATAGGGTTAAATAAACATTATAAAATTAATTAGGTGAATAAAAGACATCATTTGATTTATAGTTAAAACGGAAAGTCATCGTTTGTAAAGTGAAAGGCATATAGTTTATGTGAAATGATCATTGGTTAATTATGAAAGCAGCCTATTTCATAATTTGGTTTTCTTTTAACATTAATTTTAGATTTTCTGTAAAATGATGGTCCAGGGCCCAAAAGGTTATATAGCATAAATATGTAAAGTACACCTGCAGTATGGAAACAGTACAACAAAATGGCCGTTTTACACTTTTTTCTAGTAAATTCCACTCTAATATATATTCTATTCTCTTTGACAGTACCCTTTGCCTGATCAAAATGGTGGAGTTATCCTTGTTCTTCTCTCTCAAAATTCAATATGACGGTTTCTTCATAAAAGTTACTTGCAGGTTTCTTGAACAAGAAATTACAGAATAAATATCTTTCACGTTATTGATCAAATAAAGGTACCAAAGTACCATGTGAATCGGGCTCTGTCAACAGTGTGAAGGGATGTCAAGCACTGATTAACTTGATTAAACACAATGTGCAGGTTTATGCCACAATATTATTATAATGTACAACACATCAAAATAAAAACATTAAATGTCCTCCATTAACTTGATTAAACACAATGTGCAGGTTTATGCCACAATATTATTATAATGTACAACACATCAAAATAAAAACATAAAATGTATTCCATTTGTTTATTAACAATGTACAATTAATTGTATTAAGTTAAATATTGTAAGATTTTTATACTTGAAATTAATGATTAAAGAATATATTGAAATATATAAAATATTGGTTTGAAACTTTGGCAGAGGATTTAGAATTCAGGAATAACTGTGTTGCCCTTTTCTACACAAATATTGTCTACTATTTGTGAATATAGGAATAAACCCATCCTTAGTCCTATTAATTTGGCCCATGTAAGCTTTTAAGTTTTAACCCTATAAAGATCGGGGGTCTGAATCTTTCTATATTGGCTGGAGGTGAGCAGCGTCTCAAAGCCCCCCCCCCCTTTCTAGAAAAAAACCTAACAGTTAAGGTATAGGGTTGCAATGCTTGTTCAAAGCCCAATCTTTCAAGGACAGCTCATTGAAAGAATTTTATCGCTAACTTTCTTAGTTTTGATGCTAGGAGGGCTTGAAAAAAATGCTAAAAGCAGGTCGGAAAAATGTCGGAAAAATGCAAAACGTAAACTTTTTTTTGCTTTTGACAAATATCAAGACATGACACAGCTTTTACATCTTACCTGTAACTTGTTCAAGAAGAGGCAAGATAAATTTTCAACTGTGGTTGATACAAACAAAAGTAGGATACAATTTCATCTCTGATTAGATAACCTACTATATGGTACAAAAAGAGAAACATTACAATTTCAAATGAATTTTAAATAGTTTAAAGTGTTCAAAATCATTAAAAGGTTGTTAGCTTCTAATCTAATTATCTACTAGCTTGGGAACCGCTTAGCCAAGGTTACTAAAGATACTCACGCCGTTTACCCGAACTTGTACGACTTTACCGTGAATTTAAATGTTCGCTATTAAAGTCGACCCACAGAACTTAGAATCTCAAAACCAAGCTCACAACATTCCAGTGGGTTTCCCGAGTTACCCATTCAAAATTTGAGGCCGATCGGTCAAGGGGTTCATGAGTTATGATCGGACAAACATACAGACAGACAGATAAACATAGATTACAACTTTATATATATAGATTATATGCTTTGCTTGTTTGGTATATATCAAGCAAAGGAATTGAGTCTTTGCCACAAACTCTGATTTTTAAATCCCTATATCTTAACAACCCAATGTTGTATACCTTAGATATTTCAAACTATGACTTCTGTTATATCAAACAATCAAAGTTTGAAATATCAAAGGTTTACATAATTTGGTTGTAGATATATAGGTATTAGAAAATTAGGATTTGTTGCAAAGACTCAATTCCTTTTAAGAAAATATAGGTGTTTCAAAATTTACTGCAATGCAGTTGAAAAGTCATCTATAATGCAAAGCATGGCAAATTCCAAGCTATCTGTCTTCAAAGAAAAAAATAAAGAAAATGTCATCTTTTTATATTCTGGGCTCCAAAAAATAATGAGCCTTTCTATTGGATAAATATTTTTTTATCTATGATGATTTATATTTCTAATTGAATGTACTGATGGTGTAAACCTTTCATATTTCAAACTTAGGCTAATTGATTTGATAGAATTCATAGTTAAAACATTGGGTTTCAAAGATATAGGGATTTAAAAATCTGAATTTTGTTGCAAAGACTCAATTCCTTTCCATTGAAAATAGGGGAATATGATTATTGTGGGTCATTATGTAAAGTACACTTTCACATAGTTCGTGTCATCATTAAAAATCATTAAAATATAATTTATAATGTGTATAGAATAACTATTTAACTTTTTCTTTTTCTTATTAATTTGAATATATACAGATTAGATGAACTCTGTGAAGCTTTGATTAGGAACAATTAATTATTTTTGAAGATTAAAAACTAGTTTGTAATTTAAAATTAGAAACTTTTCATCTTGTAACATGATTTCTCTCTGTGGGTTGAGAGTAGGGCTGGGCAATGTTCTGTTACCGAAACGGAGGTTTTCGGTAATTTTTAAATTGTTAAAGAAATGGATTATCCGTTTTTAAAAAAATATTAACGTTTGAAAAGGAAAAGGGAATGGATTATTTTTAAATGGTGAATTTCGCATGAAACTTTAAATTTTACAATTTTATATACCGTTAAAATAAATGTTCGTTGCTTTGAGCAGTTAACCCCTTTGATACTATAATAAACTTTTAACAGCTGTGCCGTTAACAATTTAATTAACCATTAACAAAATTAGTTTGGCACTTTGCGCCATTAACGCTCTTAAATCTGTTATAACGCTGTTAACTGTTAATAAAATTGAGATTGTTAACTAACGGTAACTTTAAAAAAACGTTAAATACCATTAACAAAACAAAGTAACGTTCTTACCCTGTAAAACTAAAAGCTACCTGAGATCTTTAATTTGAAAATGGTTGGAACTAACCATTAACAAAACGGCTTAAATAGTTGGAATGTGCCCAGCGCTTATTGAGAAGTGGTTTAGAAAAGTTATACAAAAAAAAATAATTATTTTATAAGATTAATGAACAAGCTTCTTTTCAACTTAATTTAAAATGAAATTACTTTTTAAATTCCAGTATCCAAATTCCAAATCTTTTTTTAATGTGTTCAATGGTTTGTTCTCATAAATTTATTTAGTTTGAGCAATAAATGGTTGCATTATTTTTTTTCTATATATGTTTTCATTCGTGAAAAAACTTCCCATTGTTTGAATTATGGCCGTTGCAAAATAAAAATACTTGGAATATGAACGAAATGCTACCGAAAAATAAATACTTTTTAGAAAGTCCAAATATAGAATTTTAAATTTTTAAAGGTTTAGTTTCAATTTTGTTTCATCCCACATTAAAGTAATACAAAATAAGTTCTTTTTGATGTCTTGCATATGGATGATAGAATTAATTATTTAATTATACAGGGTGTCCCACGAAACATGACAGTTGGTGAACAGTTTTAAATGTCTTCTTCCATAATTATTTGTTAAGTTGTTGGATACTAAAGAGAATAATACAATTATTATATGGCACAATATTTTAGTAAAATTGATTCCAAAGTAAACTATCTTTAGTAAAATGTTTATTTAACGTAAAAATGCAACATATATATATATATATTTATATATATATACTTTAATTGATTAAGTCTAAAGTCTCTTTAATTGATTAAGTCTAAAGTCTCTTTAACTGATTAAGTCTAAAGTCTCTTAAATGGATTAAGTCTAAAGTA